GAGAGATAGAGTGAGAACACAAATTAAACACCCATTGTAAACAAAGCCAAATTTAAAACACTCAAATTAAATAATACATATACAAAAAATACATACACATCCAATTCCTAAAACCAAAATTAAGAAAAAAGACAACCTAAATTAGTCTATAAATTCACAAAATGAACACTACATAATAACCAACTCAATATGCATTCCATCCTAACATTCATATAAAAAAAACCTATTTATCATAACTATGAACCTATTTCATAGTAAAAATAAAAATAAAAACAATTAAACACCCAATAAAAGACACTCAATTTAAATGTGTGTGTGTGTTTTGTGTGGTGTTTTGTGTGTGTGTGTTACTGCTGTGAAAGAGAGATAGAGTGAGAACACAAATTAAACACCCATTGTAAACAAAGCCAAATTTAAAACACTCAAATTAAACACAACATTCAAAAACTGAAGTTGTCATCGACTTTAAATATTATTTCTATTGATTATTTTATAAGAAACTTATGATGAATTAGATAAGAACACTAATCAATAATAAACAACTCAACATTCATTCCATCCTAACATTCATAATAAAAAAACCTATTTCATTATAACTATAAACCTTTTAATAAAAATAGCCAAATTAAAAAACTCAATTTAAATGTGTGTTTGTGTGAAAATGTGTGTCTTTGTGTGTTGTTGTGTGTGTGCGTGTGCTAGTGCTGTGAAAGAGAGAGAGAGAGAGAGAGAGAGAGAGAGAGATAGAGTGAGAACACAAATTAAACACTCATTGTAAAAAAAATTAAATTTAAAACACTCCAAATTAGACACAAACATTCAAAAACTAAAGCTGTCGTCGACATAAATGGAAGAACCACACTGCCTTTAAATAGACAAAGAATGCAGGGATACACAGAGTTGAAGAATCTGCATCTCCTCTACATATGTTTTTTCATGCACCATAATAAAGTAAAACCCACTGCAGAAAGTTTTTTCCATAATGCTCAATTGACAACATAGAAAATCATGTCCAAACTAATTCAACTAATACAACATTAGAACGAATGAAGTTAGCCTCAACTATAGTTATAGATTAACACAACTTTACAACCACTTTCTCATTTCTATTAGGAATATCATCGAACGGGTTTTGGGCATCATAGCATCCAAATATATATGAATGTAAAGATAAACTTAACTATCTGAAAACACAAAAAAATGAAGAAAAAAATATATACCAAGTGAAGTACGAACACAAACTATTTGCACCAATCTAAAGCTAACAAAATTTTTTTTAAAAAAAATCATAAACATCTTTATGCACATAAAACCATAGAGAAAAAATAGAATGAAAAGTCATACCAGTTGACAAACTGTAGCTTTTTCTTTCCCCTTAGATTTGGCTTTCGTAGATGAATTTGACATTTTTTCCTCCTTTAATAAAAAAAAAAAAACAATGCATATAATGTAAGAAAAAATGTTGCAGTATGTTGTTAAGCTATTGTCGCTTCAACAGATCAAACTTTTCACCGAACTCACAATTATATAACAGTGTTGCCTTAATAGAACTGTTTACCCAATCATTTACCAGCTTCATAAACATTTTTATACACATAAAATCATAGATCGTCATCCATAATAGCATTTTCAAATTTTGGCATTTTCAATAGCATTCAATATCATATTTTCAGCATTTGCACAATAATATTATTGTAGTTAAATCATAAGCAGTCTACTTTCATAAGCAGTCATGTGACAACTAAGTAAGTCACATGAGTAGTTCAAATGCCACAAAGCCATTCAAAATTTAAAAACATAATGAATACTTTAAACCACCATTAACCAAGTATGAAAAATTAACTCATCATAAACAGCATAATTAAAAAATTATATTGTAAAAAGCCCAACATTTGTGTAACTCCTTAAACCACCAACAAAGTATATCCAAAAATGATTCCACTGTTCTCAAAGACAACCAAAAGTTGTCACAGCAACATCATTGTGCCACGAATTAACTTCTTTTAAGAACAAATAACTTTTGAATTATTAATGCAAAGGTAACGAATGATCATTCATGCAAAGATTCTAGACCCACAAATTTATATAGTATCTTAGTTGGTTACTAAATAATAGACAACAACAAATTTATATAGTATCTCAATGTGGGAAGATATGACCCATGCAAATGGGGGACTAATTCAATTGTTAGATAATGAAAAATATAAATAATTCCAGGGATGTGTAAATCACCCCAACATATTATATGAATGGCCAACACTTTTCTTTTATTACTTTAATGGGCTAGGAAAAATGCATTTTGCAATATTGAAAACACAATACACTCTAGGACAAAGGCAATGGACTATATTCTAAACATTTTAATCAACCAAAAATCTTAATCCAAAAAAACATAATTGAACAGTCAAAAGCGTTCGAAATCTGTAGGTTCCAAAAGTGTTATCGGGATAACATCACTGAAAGTGAAATTAAAATCAAGACTTAAAAGTGAAAATTCTAATCGTATAGTACTTAATCAAGATATTTCATTGAATGTGCAAGATATTTCAATCTTGCTTAATCAATAAAAAAACAAAGGAAAAGAATGCAGGAAGAATATGAATTATAAAAAATCCAAGAAACACAAAATACAGAACAGACTGCACCGAGTTTGCTTTTCACCACCCCCACCATAAAGAAAGTGAATTTTAATTAATTTTATCAGAGAGTGGAATGAAAGAAAAAGGAGATTACAAAAAACTTTTGGTTCCAAACAAAAATTAATTTAAGCAAAACAACGCCCTAACATAGCTAGCCAGTAAATAACCACACCATGAAATATTAAAACAAAAAACCAACCAATTATGCACCTGGTACCACACAACACAAACATGAATATTTCTGATAATAAAAGTGTTAACTTAGTTTTAAAGGAATAATTTCTTCCAAGTGCCAAGAACAAAGGCTAAAATTGGGGAAGGCATTTTCAAGTCTGCGTGTTGCTGTGAAGACCAGATGGAGAAGAGGGATAATAAAATAAATAAAAGACACAATCATATCCAAACCATTAAAACACCATTGTCTCTTTCTCACAGTCTGCCAAGATATGTTCTACCCAAAGCATGTTCCAATGGAAAAGAAAAATATTTTTTCAAAGCATGTTCCAATGGAAAAGAAAAATATTTTTTCATACAAAAGCCTTGATGGTGGTGGTGGTGGTGGTGGTTGGGGGGGTAGTTGTGGTGGTGGGGTGACGGTGATGGTGGTAATGGTGATGTGGGTGGTGGTGCAATTCCAAACACTATTTTTTTAAAAAATATTTATGAAAAGTTGTAAGTCTTAAAAGTACTTTTAAAAAGTCATTTCAAATGTACTTTTAAGGACCTATTTTTCATATTAAATTTGGAAGGTTAATATTATCTTTAAAATAAAATTTAAAGCGATATCAACCGTGAATAACATAATTTATTTTGTTTATCTTTTGAAATTTGAATTGTATTGTATTTTATTATTTTGCTTCTTATTACCCAACCAAAAAGACATTCCATTAATAAATAGATTAGTAAACGTTGTGTTATAGATTTTACCATATGACTGGACAAATTAAGTGCAAACCAGGGCAGTCATAATCAAGAGAAATAAGTAACTTCAATAAGCATCAAACATCAACTTGCAGGCCAAAAAAAAATTAGGATATGTACATACAACATCAGTTCTCTGAAGAGCACGGCCAAATATGTACTTAGTTTTCTTCATGGTCTAAATATGTATTCTCATCATTGTGTTTGTGGGAAAATAATAATGAATTAGATCAAATGCAACTTATCAAATAGCTAACAGAGTTTGAGAGGGACAACTTATCAAATAGCTAGCATGAGTCTACCATACACATACCCAAACCCACCTTCAATAGATCAGTTGAGTAAACATTTAAGTCAAACAAATCCAAATCAAATATATCCATCTCAGTACAGAAATATCACTAACACATACATGTACTTGAATGTGTGCTACTCCTAACAAACTAATAACTTCGAATACAATAAATACGAATAGAATCTACAACACAGAGAAGAAAACACACAAAAACCAAAAATATCAAATCAATTATAAAAAATAGAACTTCATGCTATAGATGTATGATCTATTAAAGTACAACCGAGTTCAACAAAAAAAAGTCCATCAACTGGTTACCAAACTATGGCAATAGTAATAACGCCAGTCAGCTAATTAGGCAACATTAAACCCAAGAATTAAGAAAGAGAAGATCATAAATTAGGCAGGTTGAAACTGAATACATTTTTGGAATTGATCGAGTAAATAAGCAAACATTTTTATTTACCCATTTTTATTTTCTTTTGTAACTATTTTTTGAAGGAAAATCTATGGATATAAAATCAAAAAAAAGATAATAAAAGAAAAGGACAAACTGGGATTGCTCTTTTAGACAAAACAACTACTTTATATAAACCAGGCAATTGTGAAACCTTCAAGAAATAACATAAAAAAGTAAGATTCCCACCGCCATGAACAACTGTATGCTTCATGCTGACAGCTTTTTTAATTTTTTAAAATGCCTAATATAATCTCATCAACTACATATAATTACCCATTGCTGTGTTTTTTTTTTCATTCCCCATCTGATGTATAATGTAAAGATAGACATTTACCTGATGAAAACAAAACTGGGCACTCAACTTCCTAGATATTCGAACCAATCTATTTATCACATTGGCCACCTTGAATATGAGACCCTCTCATTTTCCCAAAATTGAAATGAAAAAGGAAAATTTCACAATTGATCACATTCAACTATAAATAGTCAATCAATGAGAGTCATTAAGCAGCGTGTGTTTCCTAAACCCCCCCTGTGTGTTCCTTGCATGATGTCATCTATAATGAGATTGATCATTCCTTTTATCCTTCAAATGCCAAAAAAAATGATACTAATCAATTTCTCAACATGAAAGCATTACCTTTGCTAGTAGAATGAAAATGCTGCCAAGCTACCTCTATTATTGCTATTTCACAACCACTCTCTTCCTCCAAAGAAGCATCACAACATCAAATTCACTTCCTTCCAAATCCCAATAGTGTAAAGACCACATTGGCGTAATGTACATACCAACAACCTCAAGGCGGTGAGCTTTCTTCGATGATTCAATTGAACCTAATACTTTGTCTAACATCAAACATAACCAAAATTAAATGACGCTCAAATCTTCATATACAGAGAGTTGCATGGGTAGTTATTAAATTGGGTAAAATTCAATCGAAATAAATGACAATATAATTAACTGATTGAAAAAAAAACATATACAGAATCTAGCTGGGTCATTCTCTAACTGTTTGTTAAGATTTTATTATAAGAAAAAAAGAAAGAATTGAAATTAAAAAGAAAATAAAACCATAAATAGTTTAAAAATACCTTGCAATTCAACTATCCCAGGAGAAGCAGAATGTTGTTGTCAATGAAGGGTGAAACAAAGGTCTAAGAGCGAGAGAAAGTGCAGAAGAGAGCCAGAGAGTTTGATGGGTCTTTTCCTTTCCTTTTCTCTCTCTTTCTTTCTCTCCACTCTCTCTATTATACCTGTGATTCAATAGAAATGATTAAATCATGGCAATGAAAAACAAACATAAACATATAAAAAGAACCCAAAAGATATGTGTTTGAATTAACAGAAACTCCACCACATAAACAGGCAAACATTAGTTGTAATAAATAGAAATAAATAAGCACACACAAAAAGGCACCCACTGGCCAAGAAATTCGGCTTGACAATTCGTTGAGCAGCTGGTGTGTAGGATGTTCGGGTGGGGTTACAACTTACAACAATGGAGAACGTATTGAGGAAGAGGAGATACGTGAGATACTTGATAGGTGTAAGAAGTGGCACTGGGAGGCCCGTTGTTGCTGGTAGTGGAAGGGGGAGAGGGAGGTACCTGGGCTTAGCTTGGTGAGCCGCTGTGTGCCGCTGTGTTGAACGCCGTTGGTGTCGCTGCTGTGTTGATCGCCACTGTGTGCCGCTGCTGAGCCGGTGTCGCTGCTGTGTGCCGCTGCTGAGCCGTTGTGAGAAGGGTGTGGGTAGAGGGGTAAGGGGTCTGGGTTGCTGTCTGGGGTGAGGCATGGCAGAGGAAATGGGTATGTAGGGAAATGGGTGAGGCATGGCGGGAGACAGAGAGTAGCTGTAGGGGAATGGGTTTGATTTGAGGCAGAGAGTAAGTAACTGTAGGCGTGTGTTTGGGTTAAAAATGGGCGGGATTTTTTTTTTGGGTTGAGATGCATTGCAAGCCATTGGATTGAAATGGAAGAAATGAGATGAAAATGTGAGCCTTTGAATTAAAAGTGGATTTAATCTGAGCCGTTCTTATGCTTTTCCAAATAAATTAAATTTTAAAGTAAAAAAAGATTCAAAATGAGTCCTATCTTATTAGTAAAGATAGCTAGTGCTTGTCATAGTTGATACGTTCTAAACACGTTGACTATAAATATATTATAATTCGCATTTTAGTTTGTTTTTAGTGTTTGACGTGTATTACTCGATTTCCATTTATTTAAACCTGCTGCTATTATTCAATGAATTTTATTTTTGTAATTTTATATCTAATTTTTTAAAAATTTAGAAATTCAATCCGGTATGTATTACTTAATTAAGCTTGATTTTAGTAAATTATAACTGAATTTCAACAAAAAAATACATCGTATTTTTGTGAAAACATTTATGATTCAAATTGGGGAAAAGTTATGATGTCGTCGACGGTATTATACAAAAATTTACAACTTTTTAAAATTAAGTTATAACTTTTTTAGGTGTAAGTTATAACTTTTAAAGAACATGATCGATTATGAAGGATTGAAAATCAATACCGAAAGTCCATAATTAATCTTGAGTGTCTATGATCAATTATGGACTTTCGCTCAACAATTATAACTTATCTTATTAAAGGTGTAATTTTGCCATAAAAAAATTATAAATGGCGGTGCAGTACGGTACCGATTTTTTTTTTTTAAGATACAGTAGTAGACTTTCCGTTCAAATCGAATTAAATATTAATACATCTATAATTGAATCGAGAATAATCTTTTGATTTAGATTCAATTAGTCGGGGGAAAAAAAAAAGTTTCATACCCGATCCAAATTCGAATTTAGATTTTGACTCATTCATGGTTGTTATGATTAGCAATTCTTCTTCCCAACCTATGGACCAAATCAAAATGTGATAACATCACGGTTAACATTTATAAACAACGAAAAGTAGCTCCGAATTGAAGTAATAATATTACCATTAAAATATTGCCAGTGAACAAAATCAAGCTAAGTATTAGATTATCTTGACTTGTTCATTTGCAAAAAATGCTTGTGGTGTATTATTCAAAAGTTGACATACTCATTTTTTTTCAAATAAAACTTCGTTCATTACTGAATTTAAACTCTTGGATGCAGACTTATTAATTATTAAAGTGCTCTACATGTATATGCTAAGTCATTGTGTGCGTTCGTATGTGTAAGTTTTTTTTACCAAAAAAAAAATATATATATTAAAAATATTTAAATTTTATCAATCTAAATAAATAAATCGAGCCATTGTTCACGCTCAGCTTTTTGATTTTGAACTCATCTTGGTATTTAAAGAATGAACAAATGCAATCAAATATTTTGAATTTTGAATATTTTGAGTGGGAGTAGGTTGCGTAGGGTGGTTTGCATAGAAGAGGGAGACCTGGGAGTGGGTTTTGTTAAGAGTGTGTGTGTGTGTGTGAGAGAGAGAGAGAGAAGTAGAGTATGTGTGTGAGAGAGATATAGATAAGCAGACAGTCAAGGGTTTGCACAGAAAGAGTTGACCTGGGGGGTAGGGGGTTCTTTAACTCTGTGTGTGTAAGAGAGAGAGAGGGTGAGTTTGTATGTGTGAGAGAGAAGCAGAGGATAAGGATGGGTTGCGCAGAGGGCGTAGGGGTGGGGGTTTTACGCAGAAATTGAAAATCTTGGGGATTTGGAGAGGGGTTGTCCATGAGAGAGAGAGATAAAAGCAGAGAAGAGTGATACCATGGAGGGTTATGGCGGTGGCGGTATCGTTGGCGATGGTAGTGTCACAGGGGCAATAGTGATGTTGAGAGAGAGAGAGAGAGAGAGAGAGAGAGAGAATGCGTGAAGGGGAAATAGAGAGGCGACAAATCTCTGACAGTAAGTAATTGTGAGAGAAAATAATTGATGTCATGGAATGGAATTGAGGGAAAAAGTATGTAAGGTATAAAATTTTAACTTGTTACTTGCTTTATTATATAGATTTCAATAAAAAATACATCATATTTGTATGAAAAATATTTGTGATTCAAAATCGGGGAAACACTACAGTATCGCTGGAGGTATTGCATCGAAAATTACAACTTTTTATGACTAAGTTATAGTTTTTAAAGAGCATGATTGATTATGGAGTATTGAGATTGATACAAAAAGTTCATGATCGATCATGAATATTTATAATCTATTAAGGTCTTGTCTTGAACGGTTGTAATTTTTTTTATTAAAAGTGTAATTTTCCCATAAAAAGTTATACCCAGCAGTATAGTTCCAACTTTTTTCATACAATACCAAAGAGTTTCCTTTCAAATCGAGTTATAATCAAATTAAATATTAGTATATCTAAAATTGAATCTTGAACAATTTTTTATTTAGATTCAATTAGTCAGGAAAAAAAAAACCCATACTTGATCCAAATTCGAATTTAGGTTTTGACCCAGGTCTTATGATTAGCAATTCCCCTTTCCAACCCATGGACCAAATCAAAATGTGACAACATTACTGTTGAGTGTTGACATTTTTTTTTTTGGATTATAGGTATTCAGGGTTGTGCTAACTATTCTCTCGAACTCAACGATTAATTAGTGTGACTTGAACTGACTTAGAATATGTTTTTAAATGGATAAAAGTGACTCGTCCTTAAGAAACGTGAAAAATAATTGAACCCGAAGCCTATGAGTTACTAAATGATACACCTAACTATTGTTGACATCTATAAACAAGAAAAAGTAGCTCCAAATAGAAGTAATAATATTTCATTAAAATGTTCTGAGCGAACTAAATCAATTATTAGGTTATCGTGACTTGGTCATTTGTAAAAATTGATAGTGGTTTAGTTCAGCAAAAACGTATTATTCAAGAGTTGACATGTTCGGTTAACGTGTGTGTATATATTTAAGTTTTGTTTTTACCAAAAAAAAATATTTAGATTTTATCAATTTAAATAAATAAATCATGCCCTGGTTCACGCTCAGTTGGTTGACTTTGAAGTCATTTTGAATTTATGAATGAAAAGTGCAATCAAGTTTTGACTCGAAAAGATCCTTTACCTATTAATGAACACTTTGTTTTAATTGCGCACCTAATGAAAAAAGTAAGAAAAAAAAATACAATTGTACTATGACATGTACACAATTCGTAAATTACGAAAAGATCTACTTAATTTGGAAAAATATTAAGGTATTGAAAGCTAACCATATCAAAATTTATATATTTTTTTAAGTCAAGTTATAAATTTTTGCGATACAAGTTATAACAGCAAAATAAAAATAAAAAAATCGAGTCCAAGGTGAGCAACCCGATTTTTTTTATTAGCAAAGGACCAATATTGTCTAGTAATTATTCTTAGTGGGTATACGATACTAAGCGAAACTAACTAGATTTTCACTAAAAAAATTAAGAGAATACGTACAAGATGGTAGATATTGATGACTGTTAGTTGAAACTAAAGTAACGATATTATAATAGTCGCTTGATAGTAGAGGTAACTATTATCGCCTATATAGCATAAGCATGGTAAAAAAACAAGTCGAGTGAAGGAGGTGACTCCATACTGAAAAATTAGGAATTCTTAAGAGACTAAAAAAAGTACGCTTTTAGAGAAAGTTGTCAGGAATTAAATTATTTTGATAGAATGGCTTGAGATTAGGAAAGGTAAAAGTCATTCCTTACTCCCTTATTTTGGAATAGCGGGATAATTAACTAAAATTATTCCTTATTTCATTCCTTCAAAATAATGAAACTGTTGACAACAGTAATCAACGTACAGTTGTTAAAAAGTGAAAATAAATTACCACTCATTCAAGTAATTTATCATCCATCACAATATTTTATCATTAATTTTTAATTATCTCAATCAATTATAATTTTTATTTTAAAAATAATAAATTTTAGTAGAGTATCGAATTTTTTTTCCTAGAAATTATAATATACATTTAATTAATGTGGAGAAATAAGATTTTGTGCGTCTTACTCAGTCATCTCTTAAATGCTCGATAGTCCACGCCTACAACAGTCTTTGCTTCCCCCGGTTTTTCACTCGGAACTCCTCCATCATCATCCCGTACAAACATGCCCTCATTTTCGTACCTCAATCCTCAACCGGCTTCCCCTTAGCCTACGCACCCCCAGCACAGGATATGGAGGCGTCGTTTGTATCCAAAGCGAGGACGGCCTTTCATTCCGCGGCAGCTAAAGCGGAGAGAGTCTTCACGGATATTAAAAAATCTGATTTAATTACCACCGATCGAGGTACACCTTTTTCATTTTTTTTTAATTTTATATGCCACTCACATTTTTTTTTATATATATATTTTTACTATATTTAGGATTTGAAATCGGTATTATTTTCTGATATTGTTGAATTTTTGTATCACAATCGATGTTCAATTCAATCCAATCGGAGAAGATTCTGATAAACAATGTCCGAAGACATCAAAAACTGATTCCTCTAACAACGAGGATGTGTCCAAGGTAAATATATGTATATTTTTTTGGTTGTTAATTAATGTAGATGTTGATTGAGATCAATATGAATTCTATTCAGTATCGATCTATCAAATTCTGTTGAGATTGTATGAACTGAGCGTTAATTGAAGGCTTTATGAACTTGATTCAACGATGAGTACAACGGAGAGATGAAGTGAGAAATCGGAAGTTGAATTTGGTCTCATTTTAAATGTAGATAAACTTTTTTGATTTACAGCAGATTGAAAAAGGAAACAAAAATAAAAGAAATTTGAATTGCAAATTTTACTTCTATCCCCTGTTAGTTTCTTTAGACGGAATTGTCGCCTTGGCCAAAGTATAGTTGCCTGTAGCGGAAGTTGATAAATATTTATTTTTGGTTTGAGGTCCTAAAAAACGAAAATGATATGATGTAACGAATTCTAGTTTGTTTAATTTTAATTTACATATTTTCCGCAAGCGAACCGGGGATAGAAGTAAACTATTCTTGTTAGGTAATATTATAACATGCAATGTTCCATTTGCCAATAAACATGGGATGTTTGTTCATATTTAGGTTGCTTTTAATTGTTCTATAAGTAATGTCGTTTGGAAATAGTTACTTTTTATGACCCTTGTTGATATATGTGCGCTTAATACCAAATGTATTGGCACAGGGTGGGCATGAACTGAAAAATTTGAAGTCGCCAATAAAGATAAAGCAGGATTGGCACGAGAGATTCAAGAACATAAGAATAGGCAAGAAAGAAGTTCAAGATATTAATAAAGCTGAAAATTCAACGATGTCCTTTGCTATTTTTGATGAAAATTTATACCTGGTGAGCTCGGGAGATGTTTCCCAATCAAAGGTACATGAATTTTTATTATCATTTTTGTAGTGTTTGAATGCTTTTGAAAACACTCGATGTATTTCTACACATACAGGACAGTCTAACTGTCTATACTATATTTGGAACTGAAGATCAAACTTTTTCGATGCAGACATGCAACTAGGACTAGAATTATTACCTTATAAATTGGCTTATAAAAATATGCAACCAAGAGTTATATTTTTATTCCAGGAGTAACTTCTCATAGTTCAACTGCATATGTGTTCGACATTAAAGCACTTAAGTGAATGTAACCTTGTCTAATTACTAGTTAGACTTGCCAACTCTGGAACCTTGGCACAAAAAATGCTAGTAGCCCAGAATGGCAGAAGGCAGGGACCAACTGTGGCCAACTATTTTTAAAAATAAACATGATCCGAAACTGGCTAATAACAAGAACTGCTTCTCGTGTATAACAGGTTGTGCCAACACCCAACATAGATCTTTTATGACAGTTTATACGAATATGGAAATAAGAGGATACAAGAAGTGGGTTCATCTTGTTTAATGACTTTAAATTGTCTGTAAATGTGGGGAAGGCTTCAGGAGATAGTCTACATATTTTGGGTACAGTTATAATTTATGAAAAAAAATCCTAACCATCCAAACAGGAGTTGGCATTGTTTGTTTGGGTTTAAAATTATTACCAAAAATATTAGAGTAAATTTTGGTGTTTGTTAGAGCAATGGAAACCACAAAGATTCTGGGGCCATTATGGTCAAGCCACGCCAAACAGTGGAATTTGTTTTTGGTTCTTTTCCAAAGTTTATGTGAATGAGAAAATCACTAACTTGGAATAAACCCATATTTTTAAATACAGAAATCAAATTATATCAAAGTTTGTAAGATTAAATCGTTATTTTTATTGCAAAAAGGTACAGAGTAGAAAAAATTCATTGCAATTGCTTTACTTAACAATTTGAAAGGTCATGTATAGTGAGTGAGTTGGAATTTTCTCAACATTTCAATTTCCTTGGTTCTAAAAAGTAGAATTGCTTGATCATGTGTATTATTTTCTGAGGAATGGATTGATGTCTTTTAGGGTTCAAAATCGGGTTCCTCGGTAGAAAGTTCGTATGCCTCAAACACAGATTGTATTCCTCCAACAGCTGTCATGAAGCAATTGGCCATAGCTGTTGAGTAAGATTTTGTTATTGGAATTTTGAACAATTCTTTGTTTTGTAGTTCAATTTTTTTCTGAATTTAATCTCTTCTTCTTGGTTGATTGCCTTTCATATAAACAAAATAGTAGTGTTTATTTTTAAAATCCCAATTTGTTAGTTTTTTATCAAATGATATTTTTTTTTTGTTTTTCCACTCTTATTGCAACTTATCTGATATGATACATATACTATTGCAGAGTATTTCTAACTCCATTTTTGACTGATGCTTTCCTTTTACGTAACTTTGGTACACTAATTAAGTTGACAGCTACAGTAATAGCATTTTTCTATATGTTATGTTTTAATTGCTAAAGAAATGCAACTGCAACTACTCTGAATTGGTGAGCAGCATATAATGTTTCATCTTTTCTTTCCTTTTTTTTCCCTTTTTCTAGGGCTGGGAAGACATATAAGACTATTAAAGATCTTCTGGCATCATCCAGAGATTCTTCACCTGTCAGGGAGAGGGCTGCCTTGAATTTCTCTGCAGTGAAGTCGTTAGTGCTACGTGAAAAGGAAGATAAATTCACCACTGAGTTTGGTGCTGATGATAAAATCCTGTCGTTGATCAATTCACTGCTTGATGCAGGTAGATGCGTGATATAGTAATCCCGTGGAAATTTTTTTCCTTAGAAAGAAATTTTCACCCATAATTATTTGCATTATTCCTTGATGATCTTTCACTTCCATTGTAATATCTGCAAGATATTCGCAGAAGGACATTTTACTGGGAGTAAGGCCGGCTCTGGTTTGGATAAACTTTCAAACATCACATCTTTGCCTAACGATATTCATGGTGCTCCTCCTGAAAGCTTTCTTGTTAAGCTTTCTGAAGCCATTGGAAACTTAAAAACCCTGAGGAAAATGGCTTTGTTTTGGTGCGGGGTTGTTGCTGAAGTAAGTGGACTCCATTGAACTTGAATGCCAAATATAATATACATAGCTGTTGATAACAAAGGAAAATTTTCTACATCTCACAAAAATAGTAATACTTCTATGAAGACATTTTTTGAACGTAATTTTTACTGTTATTGTCATACTTCTCTTGAAGACATCATGTTGTTGTGGTTTCTGCATGTGCATGTGTGCAAATTTATTTTTCCACAGATTCAGCTCTCTTTTTGACATGAGTTAGTTGATACATCATCACATGAACTACAGTGGATATGGAAAGTTTTGCTTTCTGTGGACTTCATTGCTATAAAATATTGAGAAGGCAGCGACACGTAAGGCTACTTGGCAAAATAAGCAGGCATTCTTTTTCTCTTTGAATTTGGTACTTCTATAATTTCATTAGTGGTTATGTATGGCCAAATCTTGCTAACTTTTGCAAACTTAGAGCTGACTATGATTAATTCTGTGGTAGGTTTAGGATATGGCAAACTTCTTGGTTATTATAATACGAGAGAGAATAATGGTTGTAAGGCTTGTTGTTTGTTTAAGGTTGAAAGAAGCTTATTTTCAAGAGAGGAAAGTTACAGAAATATAGTATGAAGTGGTTCTGAATGTAAGGGACAAGAAGCTTTTAGGGTGTGTAGGAGTCAATTTGAAGGCCAAAGTAATGGGAAAAGGTTGGGGATGGATGGTGCTTGTTGGGTTGAGGGTTTGTTAATTAGAAATGAGGTCTTAAGTGCTATTTTTGGGACTTCTCTATTTTTTGTGAACAGCAATCCGGGAAATGTAATTTTGGATTTTGACTGGTTTTAGGTTGCCGGGGTTTCATGATTTGGTAGATACAAGAACTAAACAAAACAATCATAAAATTCTCTACAAAATTCAACAAACACTTTCCTGTATACCCCAAATAGCTTTTGGTTTAGGCTTTCAAAGCTTGTGATATTTGTCTAATCAATCAGTGGATGTTGCTTTAGATTTTATAACAACTCAAAACCTATAAATTATAGTTGTCATACATTATAGTGTTTGGTAATGACAATATGACCTCAAGGAACTTCAATTTACAAAAATGTTGAACAAACATGTAGGGAGTTGTGAAGTTATGACTTGATTCAACATGATACATGATTTCTTTACGCAAGATAAACATTTAAGAAACTAATGTAGGATCAAGAATGCATGTTATAGGCATGGCCTTATACTTGGTACCTTCCGAGTTGCTTTATAAGGGAGTAGACATCTCTAATGGTCTTCTGTTTTCTTGAAGAATAATCCAAAAGATGCACCCTATTATGGCATTCTATATCTTTCTAATTACCTACCTTCTCACCCTTACGTGATTATGATGAAGTTGACTTTTACAGTAGCCTCGTGATCAGGTCCATGATCAGCAATGTCACCTCTTTAAGTTGTACATCATACATTACCATTTTCAATCTTTAGACTCATTGAAGCGTTCTGTTTCATTTAGTTCAGTTACTCAATGGTGAGATACTGATTCTGTGGACCATATAATTCTTACAATAAATGAAACACAAAAGACGGTAAAACCTTCAGCTTTTGTCGATACTATAGTTTCATGGGTCTAATTACCAAGGTAAGATAAATCTCTTCAGTATTTCTGTTGAAATCTGCAATTATGTAACAGGCTGACTTTGCAATAGCACAAACCAAGTGAAATTTTACTAAATTTTTCTGCATTTGTTAGACTTCGAGAATCAACTAAGGGACTCACTGTCAAACTCCCAATTCCTTGGCACCCTTCTTCAGAAAAAAACAACGATGGATGCCAGCCTTTTCTTCATTCTCATTGTCATCTACTTTGCATTGAGACAAACTAGTGGGGAACTTGGTCCTCTTGGACTTCTCTCTTCATCTTGACTTCTTGTTTATATGAGATTCTTTAGAGCCTCTCATTAATAAATTGTCAGATAATAAAGTATTTTCTGAATCCTTTGACTTGCAGCTGAGAAGACTCTGGGCTGAAGAGCAACATATTCCTGGCATTCCACCAGATGAGATTCCAGACTTGAAATCCTGTCTTTTGTATCAGCAGTTGCAGGTTATCAACTGTTGTCTCTCCAGAAAAAGGCGCCACTCTGTTGCCACTGAAGTATTAGATTCTGTTGAAAGGCAAGCCAGTTCAAATGTTGAAGCACCAGCTGCTTCTGAAGGCCCAACCCCTGAAAGTTCTACTTTATATGCTAGAATTAGTACTGGGGAACTTGTTCTCCGGATGGGAGCTGATAAAGAATCTGATAATTTAACAATGCTGGAAACTGGTGAACTTATTTATACCCCTGTTATGCAGGTCTAATCAATATGATGACAGTGTTTTTTAATAATTAAATTTGTAATTTTGCCTGTTGTTTATAGTCTGTGTATGCATGCATATGTAGGAAGGGCCTCTGCTAACAGAAGATCTTATCAAGGAAACAGAGGAATTTGTACTACGAACTGGGAGGTCTGTGTAGTGATTAATGCCCAATTAATGAGCTATGCCTTTTTCAGATCTCAAGTTTGTGTTTCTCGTATGTAGGGCCATTGAACTCCCTGTAGTTTTTGTAAGCTCATGTTATTGATCTGAACCTTCTTGGGTGCTTCAAATAGCTCTGCATGGACCTTTTGAAAATGAGACATGGACATTGCAAGTGAATATATTCTAAGGCTCAAGCCAAAAATAAAGGAAAATTTTACTTGGGCAGTCTTGGTTGCCGTTGTACATAATTGCTATGTTATAGTCTAACTGATGCTGGTAAATTGGAGTTTTTTTGGACGCTTTAAATAATTATAGATGGCTTTTCAAGATTGCGTTGTCGACATTTAACATGAATATATTTATAGGTTCGAACTTCGAACTTCGAACCTACTTGGTTCATATTTTATTAGGGTTGTAGGTTAACAAATTTGTGGAGACACATGGATTAGTAAACCATAGCTTTATTACATTTCTTACAAGAATATGTATGCTTGCATCTGTGCTGACTTTGTATCTCTTTTTCACTGAAATTCCTTGATTCCAGTGGGCATTGGGCAGTAGTTTTTTTGCTTTTTTTTTTTTTGGGTAGTGAGTGAGAAAGGAGATGACATGGGCCTGGGTAACCGTGCTAAGTTCGGTAGTCTAGGGAAGATTGCATTTAGACCTTTGGAATACAGTATTTTGTGATCTTAGAAATCCTTGTCCTGTTTAGTGGGCCTTAAAATTGATGGATCTAAGCTTAATTCAAGCTAGGCATTGCCAAAACTCAGACTGGATGCTGATGCACATAGATTATTAGTTCATAATTCAATGCTTATGGTCAAGTGCAAAGGGCAGTAAAACTACCTGTAGGTTAGTTGTCAATTTGTTTGTAGGACTTTTAGGACTTCTAAGTCCAATTTGACTGAGTGAAGCTTATCATAATATTTTTGGATCATGTGGTCGCAAGTACACAAACAAGGTAATGATGCATTTCTGGAATGCAACAATATTGTGAATTCTCCTTTGAAAACATCTCAAATTCAATGTTCTGTTTGCTCAACAAGAAACGGATTATTAAGCACGCTTCCTAGAATTAAAGCTTTCTCAGCTGTAATTATGGCTTTTTGTTTTCCTCTTTTTGCTCAAATCAAGAAAGTAAAAACAATTTTTTTCTTTCTTTTTGCTTGTTTTCCTAGGTTTTCCTCATGCTACAGTTTAGTTTCTTATTGGTGGTTCTATGTCGTTGATAATTCTGAAAGGGCAGTGATTGGCACCTTTCTATTCTTAGCTAGTAACTTTTTTCAAGTTATTTTAACAAACTGCCTCATTTTCTATGTTCAGTGTTGGTGCTGGATGTTCTCAGCTTCTCTCTGACATGCAGGCCTTTAAGGTGAGGTTTCATAAACCATTCCTATGTTCAACAGAGGCTTCTGGCTTTTATTGTTGCAAAAATGTTAAGATACTATTTGGCACACACATAATTAGTCTATGTTATAATGTGTTAGGCTGCAAATCCTGGTTGTGTATTAGAAGATTTTGTAAGATGGCACTCCCCCCCTGATTGGATGGAAGCTGAGGCAAGCAATGAAGCTAAAGAAACCATTGAAGGCGGGGATTTATCGTGTGCAAGAGGTCAACTAAGTAGGCGAATGCAGAAAGAAGGTTGAGTCTTCTATCACATGACATTCTAAAACAAAATTTTCTGCTCTCATTTTAAATAGGTTGTGTAACTCGTGTTCTGAAGTTTCTGTCAGGAGGGTAACGGTAATATGAAGTTGCATGTAGAAATGTTGACGTTTCATTAGAAAATGACTAGTTTAATCTCACATTCCTGTTTGATTCCCTATCGTTGCAAAAGTTGTGCACATTGTTTCTAACTTGGAAGCTTGTATATTTAATTAGGTATTGGAATTGTCTGACCTTTTGCTTTAGCTGAATTATTAAGTCTGGGTACCTGTGCGCTAAGGGCAGTAAGAGCCTGCCTGCTCTTATAGGGGTTATCTACATTTCCATATGATATTTGTACAGTGCAGTCAGCTCAGCTTTGGTGGATATGGATAATGATGAATAGCAAACTAAAAATACACAGTATGAAATTATTAAATAGTCATAATTGTAGAAGAGGGAAAATAAATAAAAGCTTTCCAATTATGGTTTTCCCAGGAAGTATGAAAAAGAGTTTTTTTCCTTTCTCTCTCTGTGATGACTGATAGTACTCCTGGTTTGTATAATAGATCATGGGCGTTTTGGGTACTTCCATGACAGTGACTCCCTCTGACATAAATTGATTGTGCTCACTACTCTGTGAGGGGTTCTAGAATAAATTCCTGACTGCTTTGGTTGTTTTGGCTAGACTCATTAGTCATTGGGTTAATGCTTTTCTTCTACTGATTGCAATTGTCAAGAGAAATACTTATATAGTAGTTTTCGTAAAATCCTTCTTCACTGCTTTCATTGTTGACATTCTTTATAAATGGGTACTTGGTTTTTGATTTAATATAGTATTATAAATGTGTACTTGGTTTCTGATTTAATATAGTACTGCTACATGTACTGTACATGGTCATTCCCTACACAACCCCAGGTTTCTAAAACTCTGGGTCAGGGATCGAAATTTTGTTTCATTTTTTGTGGAAATCGAAATGCACTAGTGGCTGAATTCCATCCTCTTGTTTCGGAATTGAAATTTTGGATGTTTTGGAATGTTTCTTCCGGAATGATGTCATTTCCTGCCTGTCTTATGGAAAGAGTTGGTGGTGGGAATATTGCTGGTTCGCCAGAAGAAGATGCACGTTATTTGCATTATAAGTCCTTTAAATCATGAAATTTAGTTTGTTTAATAAAATTTATTGTTTGGCATTATTTGAAATGACATCCTCTTCAAAGTAACTTTAACTTTTGTGCTCCAAGTTTGTGTCATCTAGTGTAGATGGATGTTTAGAAAATAAACATGCTCAATTAATCGATTGTTAAGCTTATCTGCATGAAAGAGATTTTAATTTATGTTTCCAACAGTTTCCTCACGTTTCCAAATTTTTCTGGGATTACATTTTGTTTCCAGATCGTTTCCATTTCTGAGCTGGCAAAAACTATGGAACACAACGAAATTGTGATCCTTGCTTTGGGAATTTGCTTCTTCACATGTGTCCCAATGCAGCAATGTTTTTGTTGTAGACTTTTAGTCATCATTCTTTCTATTTCTTTCATTTATAAACCACCATAGAATGTTATATTTGGTTGAGAAAGCTATTCTTTGAGAAATGCTATTAAACAAAGTTAAAAGTGAACCTTGTTTTTTGCAAATACTATTAATGTGCTTTGTTTTTTTAGAATGCTTGTTGATGGATGAATGCTATTAATCAAATTTTCTTTATTTCAAGAGAAACCTGGCTAGCAATATTTATTTCTGAGCATGGAAATGAAAAGGAGGGAAGAAGACATTCTACTAAAAAGATGTGAGGAAATTACACGTTTGTTATGACTTAAGAGTATCTGTGAGGATGTCTGATGTGGATGCTGTGGTTGGTGTTCTCACTGTTTGCCTTTTTGCAATGTGGTCATTTCGTAGTTCATCTAAATTTTTCAATGGCCAAGACCTTCCTAATCTGGCCGAGTTTGTTGCATTATAATAGGAGTGCTTGTTGCTATGGCTTCCCCTTTTTGGTGGATAAAGAAGGACCGAGCCAAAAGAGAGCTCTGGAGAAGTTCATTGATTTTTGACTAAATTACCAGTGCAGTGGTCTCTAAGTCCTTTTAGCACTTCGAATAGATGTTTTGAAATAGTTTTTGGTCTTTCATTTCCTTCTCACTACTGGATCTAAAATTACCAGATATATTAGTACAATTGTCCTACACTGTTTTACTCATAGAGTTTTCTGCAAATACTTTTGCTTAATCATACTATGTATTTGCTCTGCTAAATGGTTGCTTATTGATTTATAGGTAATTTATGGCGTGAACTGTGGGAAACAGCAAAACCAGTTCCAGCTGTCAGACAAACTCCCCTCTTTGATGAGGATTTGGCTGTGTAAGACGAAAGATATTAATCAGTGCTTCATCTAAAATTTATTCTGTCTTCATTTAAATTTATTTCTGAATTGAATAACTTCCTGACAACAACTACATGGTGCTTTGATTCTCTAGGGATGGTATCCTGAATTTCTTAGAGGATGTCCCACCTTCTGAGCTTTTTGAACAGCTGTTTGTTTCTCTTGTAAGTCCTTCAGATATCTTGCGTGATTTATTTTTTCTGTATCTTTTCCATCAAATAGATTCAACTTGTTATGTATCACCCGAGGAATTTTTCCTTTATTTTCAATGGAAAACTGAGTAATCTGCATTCTCACATATGAGCTTTATCAAAATAAAATCTTTGATGGCGCTACTCGTTTGGAATATTTACTATTTTGCTCATGCTATATATGTGGCTTAATTTTAACGCTTGAACCATAGGGTTTAAAGCCCACCAAGTGGGTACTGTTGATATGCATATATGGCATTAAAAACTGTGGACATTGCTGGGCACAAATAGTAGTTTTACAGATGACCATTTGACCTTCTCTCCCACCTCAAGGTAGGGTGAAATCTCTTCTGCTTCTTGCACTGAGTGGTGACCAACATCCCCTTTCCATTGCATGTGGCATCAATGTGTTTCCAGTACTGAGAAGAATGAGGAATCATTTGAACAACCTTGGGCTGTGCTTCCAGCATCTATGGTGGTTTAGTGTTTGGGTGCTGCAGCCTCATTTCTAACATGTCCCAGAGAAGTAGTTTGCAATACTTTGGTCAATGGTTATCCACAAGGCTGGTAAAGAGCTGCCAACTTGCAGGTGGTGGTTGTTGTTGTCTAGTCCTCTCTCAGTTGTGGAAGCGAGCCATATGCGTCTAGTTTTTCATGATGTTGATGAGTGTCTGCTGGAAGTTTAAGTTTTCATCTGTGTGCAAGAATGGCTTATATTTGCACAACTATCTGTAGGACTAAAAATCACCTGAAACAGATCAATATTTTTTGCCATTGGTGATTCCTAGAGACACGTGCCTTCTATTTTTAGTTGATTAGGAATGCAGCCAATTGTTCTGTGCTTAATTATGATCCTGTTATTTGGCATCACTATTTGATTAGAGTTCAGACAATTGCTTCTCCTTCCTTTTTGTTGCTGGACTGAAAAATTTGTAGGTGGTGATGATGGTTGCATGCAATTCACAAATTCTGAACCACTATTGGTTGCTCTTTCGTTCTGCTAATGCGGTCTAATGTTCCAAAATTTCAGCTGGGTTCAGGATTCGTTATTGCAGAGGTCGCACTCTCCACAAACTCAAGTTTGTCAAAGTTGTTCTACGAGTGCAGAGACTACATTGTTGCCACTTGTCAAGGCAGCAATTGGGTTGAGAAAGTGGATGATATATGCCAGGTATGCCCTACACCTGACCGGAAAATTTTTTAAGTTGGTTTGTGGATTACTTGGATATGTGCCTCTAGATATAGCGATTTTGAAATCCATTGGTTCTCACCTTTCATGGCATACAATCTATTTGCACTTTGATTGGCACTGTTCACTTACTCTTGCTTCTTTGACATGCAATGAAGTAAAGCTCACCAATGGGATGATCTAATTCACAAATATATCCGAACTATCATGAGACACCTTGTATTGCTTTTAATTTGTCCAATGAAGGACCTGCACTTGGTGATCAAGGGATTGACAGGTTAGAATTAGATGGCCTCGTTCCCTGAGGTATTGGTGCCGAATGAGGCATGAATTGGTGTGCACCTTGCAGGGGTCCACTTGGAAAGTTCTTGAAACTGTCATCGAGGCACCTAAGTGGGCAACTACCCTTTCATTTCTTTTAGTTATCTTCTTTGGTTTGTTCTTTTGTTGCATATTCCTTTGTGCGTGGGCCTAGAAGTATATTATTTACGTGGGGCAAAAAAACCGAAGAATTAACCAAAGGGACTTTGTTATTCAATAATTAAATTCTGTTGTAGGTGTATGAAACAGTGGAGATGATGTTACTAAATCCAGATGAAGTTCTAAAGATCACAAATCAGCCAGAAGAAACCTCAATTGCTGGTGAACCGAAAAATAGGTTTAAGAGGCTTGGCTTCATTTTTGGTGGCAAAGATAGGCATGGAAAACCAGAGTCAAAAGACCAGAAGAACTCAGAGGAGAACCCGGCACGCCAACAATTTTCATCAATATTTTCGAAGAAGCCTCCTAAGGCCAGCAGTGCATCCCCAGCTGAAAAACCTGTTTGTTCGATTGAAAATGATTGGACAGTCATTTAAGCATACTTGATCTCACTTGTAACTGTATATAATTCTGAAAAAAAAAAAAATAAACATCTGAAGAAATTTCCAATTCTTTGAAAGGAAAGAAGAAATAAAAAGGCTTCTTATCTTCATTGGCTTTGAGTTTTGTTGTTGGTCAGTTTCTCTGGAAATTGCAATGGCACAAATGACCTCTAATAGCATGCTTCCCAAAACTCATTTCAATTAACAGGGCTGACATCCATATTAGGTTCTGCAACTTTAGTGTGTAATCATGAGGGGAATTTCCTTCGTTTGAAGAACAGATAAAAAGGCTGGGGAGCTGTGGCTATATGGTATTCTCACTCCCCTAGTTTGTTCCTGATCTTGGTGCATTGCTGATGGGTATTCTTCCTTGTTCATCTTCAGATATACTTTTATTGCTGGCCTCCTTGTCTTCACTTGTCTTATTTTGGAGGTCCTAGGAGATGATCTTGGCACAACGAAATTGGCCACCCAGCACATAAATAGAAGTACTGCACTGTCAGCCAGGTAAACCATTGGTTTTATTTATTGCTATTATTTATTTTATTTCAGAATGCTCTGCATGCTGAACATGGTGACAGGTGTACCGCAAAATATTGTATTTGTTTAAAGAAATAAACAATGTCATTGTAAACCTACCCGTGGGAGGAGGGGTGGTGGTGGTTGTGCTGTTATGCAGCCAGTGACAATCGACACTAGGTCTGGCTTGGGAAAGATAGCAGCACTGACCATGAGGGCTACCTTTGTTCTTGCGGTGATGCGAATTTATTGGTGAAGAAAGTAGTGAGGTGAGATGTTATATAAAGATTTGGAGTTCAGGGTGAAAATGTTTATGTTCTTCGAAGCAATACACCAATTCACCGGAGGTGGCCATGGAACTTGCTTCTGGAACTAAAGGAGAGGTCATACATAGCCTTGGTCCACATTTGAACTAGTGAAATAATGTTTTGTCTTTGTTGAAGGCTGTTAGTTTCAGTGGTGAAGAGCCAGCCAAAACAGTTTATTCATTTTCACTTGCTCTACTCAAGCACCTGAGTGATTGGAAAGAGAGTGAGAGTGAATGGATGCATCTCATTGTGAAACTCGTTTGCATTAAATTTTCTATTCCTCCAGTTTCTCGTACATTATGAGTGCACGTCTTTGATCTAGGCCAAATGGGTATGGCTAATATTTTAGGAACTACATCACGTTTTGCTATATTTGTCGTCTCACGTGTTGACATTATAAGTGAGTCTCTTGTTCATACTCGGTAGGTGATCTGTCATTGTGTTAAGAGCAATTTTGGATTCTTTATACTTGCCTAGTCTAGTCCCTAGCCACAGCAGCTATGGGTTCAAAGTACTTGGATGCTACTCTTTTTTGAGTACAATTTACAAGTATTTATGAAAAACGAAGGCTGGTTGCTTAACCAATACCCGAATACAGATTCACTTTGTAACAATTTTCTTCAATTCCTTTAATACTAAATCACTTAAAGTCGTGAGACTTGCTGTATTCAAGTGAATATTTTGCCAATAAAGAACATATGATGTCTCGTTGAGAAATTGAAGGGAAGTAATTTTAGAAGAGCTTTCTATTCTCAGTTCACCTCTCCCCAATATCTCCCACTTAACAGGTTAACTGGATAATCATTCTCGTAGACTTTAAAAAAAAAAAAAAGGAAAAATTTCAGTTACACTTTTTTTAGTTTATTATATTTTTCAAGAACACCACCTCTATCAGAAAAAATATTACCGACACCCATTTTAACTTATATTTAAATAGCATTAACACCTTTTGCTATTAAACTATTATTTATAACAAAAATAAATTATCTAAATACCAAAATTACCCTTACATAAACCTTAAACAATTTTTCTATATAAAATTCGAGTTAATTAAAATTTAATTTTTTATATATTAAAATTTAATTTAAACTGATTAATTGACTGGTTACCATTTTAATCCATACTCAAATTTTAAAATTTGAGTTTTAATATGGTAATTGACTCGATGGTAGCCAGGTAAAGTAACTCATTATTATCGTTTGAACTACTTTTGAAATTGTTACAAGTCTATTACCCTATCCCTTAGGGCAAATTGCTCGAACCTAGATCCAGATTATATTACAAGGTCAAGCGCACAGCCTAAGCACTGTAATTATGGGTTCTTCTTGTGTAGATGTTGCACTTTTGTTTTTTTGGTCGGTCACTATTATAAAGAGAGTGATCAGGTATGAATTCGTAATTTTAAAGTCTATCAGTTGAGGCGATGACCATTAGGTCAACCTTTGGACTTGTGGATGATGCAGACCCAACGAACTTTTCATCCTCATAAATATAAAAAAACAATTCGTTCTCAGCACTTGTCGGCTCAGCAAAAGTATCAAGAGTTCAACAAATTAAACGAGTTCAATGGGGTTCCGCTCATCTAGATGTTGCCCTTTAAAACGATTTGGTAATATATTATTAAACACACAAGAAGCAAATCATCCTCAATAGGTTGCCTCAGTAAAGAAGGGGAATAAAGATACCACCATATATGATCAATTGTATGTATACATATATACGCATATACAGACTTATTATACACACACCCACACCCACACCCACACCCACGCCCACACATACAAAAATGTTAAAAAATGAATGTTTCACAAAGAAAATATTTATTTTTCAACCATAAAACAATTTTAATATGATGTTACTACAGCAGGAATATTGCCGAATAACTCCAGCTTCAGTATGTTTTTTTTTTCAGCGACCAATGAACTTCAGAACCCAGAAATCAAAAGCCAAGCTTCGTCTCTTTCTTCCTATTTGATACAGATTCATAAACTGCTCCACTTGCTGCTGACTTTTTCTTTAGTACGTAGTAATTGGGAATGTGTGTGTGTGTGAGAGAGAGACCCTAAAGGTGCAGTGCATGCAAACTCATGTGGAGATGAATCGAAAGTGTCCCCATAAGGCCCAAATGATCATCCACTTGGGGGAGGTCAAGTGGTGGTTGCTAGGTGTGGGGTTTGTTTTTCAAAAGAGACAGCTGGGTGCATTAACTTCCCAAGACACTGTGAATCTAAGCTAATTAAACTTTCTCAACCGTTCCTTTGAAAATTTTAGGCTTGGCGCCTCTATATATACTCCACTTCCAGTTCTAACTTCTCATCAAAAGTCATCTTAAACATTGCTTTTTGCAAAGATGGCTTCTCAGCTCTTCCTTCTTGTGCTTGTTGCTCTTGTTTGCACAACAAATGGTAGGAAGCTTGTGAGCTCAAAGGGTTCTTTCGAAGATGAGAAAACTCTCTTTCATCAACCAGGATTCGGTGGTGGAGGTGGTGGTGGTTTTGGGGGCGGTGGAGGTGGAGGGTTAGGAGGTGGTTCTGGTTTTGGTGGTGGGGCTGGTTATGGTGGGGGTACTGGTGGCGGTGGTGGACTTGGTGGAGGCGGGGGTGGAGGGTTTGGTGGTGGTGGTGGAGGAGGATTAGGTGGAGGGTCTGGTTTTGGAGCTGGTGGTGGATATGGAGGTGGGGCGGGAGCTGGTGGTGGACTTGGAGGAGGAGGTGGTGGAGGCTTTGGCGGTGGCGGTGGAGGTGGTCTTGGCGGTGGTGCCGGTGGTGGATATGGTGGAGGAGCGGGTGGTGGGATTGGAGGGGGTGGATTTCCTTGAGAACTAAAGCTCCAGTCCATTACATTATCACTGGTTTGCCAAATACTAATATTGTTTATGTATGCTCATGGAGGGTTTCTTTTCTTTGTATCTTTTTAGTGTCAAAGGGACAAATAAACTCTTTGAAATAAAATTAGTATTATGGTTTGCATTGTCTACTTGCTCTCTCTCTATTCAAATCTCAAGTCATCTTCTTATCAATGTGTGATATGATCTACTTCTAACTTTAGAAGCACATGCCAAGTTCAGAAAGAGAGACTCCAAAGTATGATCCTTTTGACATCTTATTAATTTCTAAAGAAATCTCATCAGATTGATCCTTTTGACATCAATGCACCAGCCCTACCAAAAGCTAATTCAGAACATGCACTTGTTGTTTAATGGACAAAGAATTAAAGAAGAACACGTGGCACATGCCATGTGGGAGCAATTTTAACCCGTCACGTGGTATACATCACTTCAAAAATATTGTACATTACAAGAAAATGATACAAACTTAAAATAATATAACCGAATATTACACGAATGTGACATGACATGGTTCAATTCATAAACCCCAAGCATTTTCATTTCCGTCAAGTGTAAAAGAGTTGAGGAGTTGTATGATAATAAATGTAGAATTAATATATAGGTCCCTTTCATTTGTGCTAAAAAAAAACTTAAAAGTAGGCTTCATGATAAGGTTCTCAATCAAGAAGCTCAATATAATTAGGTCTGCAGACTTCTCTGCTATGGCTAAGTCATGTAGATTCTCAAATGGTTCAGCGAAACATCAAAGCTTTCCACTTCACTGATTATGGGTCAGAACAAGTCTTAGTTCTATCATTTATATATTTCATGCTAATAAATGAAGAATTAGTTTCATTCCCATTGTCACCATCAACTTGTTGGCATTATAGTGGCGGAACCATTGAAGGATCAGGGTGAGCACATGTCGATCCTAATTTTTTTGTCTTACCATAATGTATTATATTTTTAAGTATATTTACTTATGTCCATCGTATTATTTTGTTATTATTAGAAAGTAAACTTGTTTTAGAGTTTATTATATTATTAAGGTGTGTTAATTTGGTGTGAGTGAGAAAGTGAGGAATATGCAAGTAGTGAATGACAATATTATTAGTGGGCGTTAATTTCCCAAGTTGGTAATAATGTGTGAATGTAATGTTAGGAGTTCTATACATGACCTATATAATAGGACATATAATCTACTATTAGAAGTAAGTACAATTGAGTAAAAGTTGAAGAATTCTAAGTTAAGTGTGTGCTTTGTAATCAACTTGAATGAAATTATTTTTTTATTGAGAATTCATGTTCTCCTCTACTTCCTTCTATTTTATTTCTAGTTTTCTTAACCCTCAAAAAGTGGTATCAGAGCGATTTTCTAATTGGAGTAATTTCAAAAAAATTAGTACCAGAGCCAATTTCACAATCCTGAAAGTCTATATAACTCTCAATTAGAGCTAACTTTTGATTTTGGAAGTCTAGATAGCTTATTTTTAGAGTCAATATGATCCTTGAAGACTTGATTGTTACGATTATGACGATCATAGAAGATTGACTAAAATATATGTTTTTGGTGTAAAAAGATGATGTTCTCTATTTATAAGAGAATGAAGGTTACACTACCTTCTTATCTTAAAGAAAGTCATTTATGGGATGTGATTGAAGCAAGTTAAAGAGTGGCTTGCCTAAAAGAATCCGAGGAAAGAAAGAAAAAAGTATTTGGAATTCTTAAGAAGACGATTCATCTCTAGATTTGGAAGCTTGTACTTCAAATCATGTTTGGAAGTTGATTGAGAGTATTGTCTTCAAACATGAAGTTGAGTTTTTACCTATGGAGTATTGGGTTTAATGCTTTGAAGAGACGAGTATGTAAAAGAATAATGTGATTTTAAAGAAACAATCATAGAAGATGAAGAAAAGTATAAAGTCAAAAAAGTTGAAGAGACTAAAGTGAAAGTAGAGGTTCAAGAGACTTTGAGGATGAAGTTGAAGAAACAACTCAAGAAATAAAATATAAAAAAGTTTGTAAAGAAGTTGAAACAATACTACACGAAATTGAAGAAATTGCAAGGACTGAAGTTGAAATCAAAGATCTTGTCAAGATAAAGGATGGTGAGACAGAATCCAAAGATGCTTTTCCAACAAATAATGAAGTAAATATCATTTTGATGGCATATTTGAAATAAGAGTCAAAGTAATAAATTTCTTAAAAATTGTACTAATTGTTACTCATAACTTGGTATAGGGAATATTTTGAGTGATACAAATTGAGTGAATATTGAGAAATTTTTTGATCTTTGTATAAGACAAATTCAAAAAGTTTGAGAAAAAGAAGATTGTTGCACAAAGACCAAAAAATTTTTGACAAAACAAACATGATTTACAAGTGTAAGAAAATTCATCATAAACCCTACACGGCAATACTCCTTGGGTGTAGGGCTATATACACGCATACAGTTTACTACAGCTGCAAAGGATAGTGCTTACTATAACTCATTTTATTTTATCTGGAGGTTTCAATATTTCTTCTCCTCCTCTGATTTCATTATTGCATGCAGGTCGCCCAATGAAGCCAAGCCAGAAGCTACTGATCAAGCTTTGCAGGTTAAGCCATAAGCCATTACTTGGAACATTTAAATTTAGGTTTAACATGTTTTTTTTTTCAGCGAGCAATGAACTTCAGAACCCAGAAATCACAGGCCAAACTTCGGTTCTTTCTTCCTATTTGATACATTCACGAACGAACTGCTCCACTTGCTGCTGACTTTTTCATTATTGTGTTTGTTTGTGTGTGTGTGTGTGTGTGAGAGAGAGAGAGAGAGAGAGAGAGAGACCCTAAAGGAGCATGCAATTATGCAAACTCATGTGGAGCTGAATCGAAAGTGTCCCCATAAGACCCAAATGATCATCCACTTGGGGGAGGTCAAGTGGTGGTTGCTAGGTGGGGGGTTTGTTTTTCAAAAGAGACAGTTGGGTGCATTAAATTCCCAAGACGTGGTGAATCTAAGCTTATTAAACTTTCTCAATAGTTCCTTTGAAAATTTTAGGCTTCGTGCCTCTATATATACCAGTAATGCTACGCTTCGAGTTCTAATTTCTCATCAAAAGTCATCTTAAACATTGCTTTTTTGCAAAAATGGCTTCTAAGCTCTTCCTTCTTGTGCTTGTTGCTCTTGTTTGCACCACAAATGGTAGGAAGCTTGTGAGCTCAAAGGGTTCTTTCGATGATGACAAAACTCTCTTTCATCGACCAGGATTCGGTGGTGGGCTAGGCGGTGGAAGTGGAGGGTTAGGCGGCGGTTCTGGTTTTGGTGGTGGGGCTGGTTATGGTGGGGGTGCCGGTGCCGGTGGTGGACTTGGGGGAGGCGGGGGTGGAGGGTTTGGTGGTGGTGGTGGAGGAGGATTAGGTGGAGGGTCTGGTTTTGGAGCTGGTGGTGGATATGGAGGTGGAGCAGGGGCTGGTGGTGGGCTTGGAGGAGGAGGTGGTGGAGGCTTTGGTGGCGGCGGCGGAGGTGGTCTTGGTGGTGGAGCTGGCGGTGGTGCCGGTGGTGGATATGGTGGAGGAGCGGGTGGTGGGATTGGAGGAGGTGGATTTCCTTGAGAACTATAGCTCCAGTCCATTAATTATCACTGGTTTGCAAACATACTAGTATTGTTTATGGGAGCTCATGGAGACTTTCTTTCCTGCTTTTTTCGTTTCTTTGTATCTTTTGTTTTAGTGTCAAAGTGACAAATAAACTCTTTGAAATCATATTAGTATTATGGTTTTTATTGTCTACTTGCTCTCTCTCTCTCTCTCTCTCTCTCGCCATATCATAAGATTGATCATGTTAAACCTAATGAGATAAAAAAGATTGACAAACTTGAAGTTGCTCCAAATTCAAATCTCAAGCAGTGTTCTGAATGTAGAATGTGTGATATAATCTACTTTCTAACTTTAGAAGCAGATGTCAAGTTCAGAAAGAGCTCCAAAGTATGATCCTTTTCGCATAAAGAGATCTCATCTGATTAATTACATGAATCACACCAACCTACCAAAAGTTAATTTAGAGATTTGTCGTGCCTCGGAACACCACCAGAACATGCACTTTTTGTTTAATGGGCAATGAATTACAGAACACACTGCATCTTGGAGAAATTTTTGTGCGGGTTTAACACATCATATGGTAGTGTCACGTGGTGTACATCATCTATCTTTGTTAATTTTTTTTTCCGAAAATGCCAACTTGTGTATTTAGTTTTGTAATAATTTTTCATTGGGTTTGCATACCACATGATAGTATTGTATTAAACTCATTCTAACTTTTCTCCGCAATTAGCCATGCAAAAATATTATTGGTGATTAACATGGATCTGAGATTAGTGTAACAAATGCATCAATTAAAATTAATTACAATGTACTTCGAAGTTGCTTTCTCGGATTTTTTTAAATTTCCCGTGGATTATTTCTTCGATTTCCATCGTTTTCCATAAACTAATCCGATTGATTACCTTTTCAATTCGGTTTCCTGATGGAATGTTAATAAGGAATAATCCATTTACAAATCTCATTGAAGTTCTTAAGCAACATGGTGTTCCGAGATTAATTAAATTGCTAAAACGGGACTCATTTCGTTACCAAGGACTGTGCAGCGTTACTGAAAATGGGCCGATCCGTGGTAGACCTTGTTTTTTCTTGCATGATGTGATTCTATCTTGATTGTGATCACTTAACCATAGGTAAGTAATAGTACATTTATGGGTGTTAATTTTTTTTTTGTTCAATGGTCAAGATGTTTGGACCAACTTACGCGTACCTCGATTAATTTTTTTTCAGTTCGATCAAAGATAGGTCATTCATGCCAAGACTAGGGTATTTATGAGGGAAAAATCTCTCATAACCTTGTCTCAAGGAGTTGTCAATATTCGAATTCAAACATTTAAGTTTATTGTTTGTCGTTATTGCCACTTGAACTACCTTAGAGTTTGGAATGTCAATTTTCCACGTCATAGGTTGACCGGGTTGGTCTAAGAGCTGTGTGATTGATATTGAATGGACCATATATATATATACATATTGACGGAACATAGTTTGTCAGGATCAATCAACATTAATCAGTCACAGAAATATGGTACCTGTTGTCCCATTCTGTTAGGGGAACGATAGTTACACACATCACTACACTCGATTCTAAGAGGGGACTCCGGAAGCTTTTGACTACTCACAGGAATCTATTTGAACCAAGTAGAGAAAAGGGACCAAGTTGGCATCCCTCGGCATATCAACGACGAGCATCCATGGGTGGGCTCTATGTTTCTACAACTCGATGTAACTTAGGCCCTGATTACAAGGACATCGGGGAACATCGACAACACAAGTCGAGGAGATACTCTTGGCTTATAACTATTTAGAGGCTCGACCATCAAAGTGACCTCAGTAAATGTGTCTACTTGAGAGTAATCAAAGGAATGTCAACTGACAATTCGTACTTAACGACTAGTAGGCATGGTTCCATTCCCCCAAAAGGTCAGAGTGCTAAAAAAAATACAATGTGACCAATCATGAGGGGCATTATTGAATTCTCAATGAACTCCAATCTCGAGGTTTTACAAATCATTAAATGCTCCTCATAAGCATTCGCTCGTATAAAAAAAATAGTTAATCCTCGGAGAGACAGAGGCTAAGAACATTAAATCCACAATAAATACTCCTCGAGAGTCAAGACGCCGAGCATTAAATGCCATTAATACATCCTCATAAGGTCATGCATGCGGGATATCAAGGATCGAGGCAAAGCAAATGTTCTGTTCGAGGCCTGTCCACCTGAACAAGTCAAAGGGATATATATTTCAATTGTTTGATGTACGGACCTAACGGAAGCTTTCCTACCAATATAAAGAATTGAATGACCTGGCCTAACTTAGTGGTCACCCCTTGAAGGTATAAATAAAAGGCAAAGGTACGCAATTTGAACCCAGCAATAGCCTTGTATTTCACTTCTCTCCTCAAAAATTGACTTCAACATCAGAGGAAATTGTCGGAGACACTCCACCATCCCTTCTAACCTTTCTTTATAACTGACGGATCATTGAACCCAAGAATCCAGAGCCTTCTTCTGAGTGCAAGCCAGACTTCTGCTATCTCAAATATTTTACCAGAATTCTCCTGTATACATACATATATCTATATAATAAAGTAGAACGAATTTGAATTTTGGAGACAAATAGTGGTCTAGATCTTTTCGTGACCAAAAAAAGTATTATCTAATGGAGGACGTTATCCCAAACTGTTTCGAGCAATTGACGTCTCAGATCGTTTTGATCCGACGTTCCACATTAACTTTTTTGAAATATTTTTGATGCTCAAAATTTATAGTTTCTAAAATTGATATTCTAAAATTTAATTCTCCCAAATATTTTTCTTAAATCAAACAAATCTCTCTCTCTCTCTCTCTCTCTCTCTCTCATTCCTCTGTATATCTCTCTCACGATTAATTCACGCAAAAAGTATCAATTTTTCACAATATTTTCCTCTGTATCTCACGAAAATATCATAAAATATTAAATAGTGTTTGATTCAAGCAAATACTACATTTCTCTGTAGATAAATAATATATATCACAGAGAAATAGTATATTACGAAAATATTCATCTGTATCTCTCTATGTAGAAATATTATGTAATAAAAATTAAATAGATAGTATATATCACAAAAATATTCCTCTGTATCTCTCTCTTTCATTCAAGCAATACTACAAAAACGAATCAAACAAATTCAATAATCAATTTTATTTTTTCCATAATCAATATAAAAAAAACATAACTTACAAAAAATCTAATTTAACAAATAAAATATGCTTAACATGTAAAATATATAAGATTAGATTCAAGTTATTAAGCAATTCAGATATCAAGAGATATATTAAAGAAAATATGCTTAACATTTAAAATATACAAGATTAAATTCATATACAAACATGAATCATACAAATTCAATATTTAGTGAATAATATAAAACAACAATATTTACTAAATAATCCAAATTTAAATACCCAAGAAAAATGATACAAAATTACAAGCGAGAAAAACGATACAAAATTATAAGCAATACTATGAACACAAATCATACAAATTTAATATTTAATGAACAATATGAAGTAACAATCTTTACTAAATAATCCAATACTAAATAACTTTTAGTTTAAGAAAATATACTAAGAATATAAATAACTAAGAAGAATGATATAAAATTAAAAACATTATTATAAACTCGAATCATACAAATTCAATAGTCAATTTTTTTTTTCATAATCAATAAAAAAAGAAGCATAACTTGCAAAAAATCTCATTTAACAAAGAAAATATGCTTAACATATAAAATATACAAAATTAAATTCAAGTTATAGGACAACTCATATATCAAGAGATATAATAAAAAAAATATGTTTAACATTTAAAATATACAAGATTAAATTCATATACAAACACGAATCATACAAATTCAATATGTAGTAAACAACATAAAACAACAATATTTACTAAATAATTCAAATCTAAATTCCCAAGAAAAATGATACGAAATTACAAATAAGAGAAACGATACAGAATTATAAGTAATACTATGAATATAAATCATACAAATTCAATATTTAGTGAACAACACGAAATAATAATCTTTCCTAAATAATCTAATACTAAATATCGTTTAGTTTAAGAAAATATATTAAGAATATAAATAACTGAAAAAAATGATACAAAATTAAAAGTATTACTATAAACTCAAATCATACAAATTTAATAATTAGGTCGTATTTTTTGAAAGTCGGTTGAATTTTTGATAGTTATATTTGGTCATTTGACAATATCTGCAGATTTAGTTTATTTGTGGGAGTATTATTTTAATTTTTATTTTATTAGTTATGAATTTTTTATTATTTAGATAAAGTTGATTATGAATGTTAAAATCGTGGATTTTGAATCAAAAATAGAATATTGAATATTGTCAGCTGATATATTTTTTCAGATGTTTGAATTATTATGTTTTAGTAGTTATAACATAATTTTCGTGGCGTAACAATTTAATGTGGAAATATATGCTATGCATGTAGGTTGATGTTATAAAAAATATTAGCGGACTCATTTTGTTCGTCATTTACTATAATGTTGTATTTTACTTTACATTTATGTATGAACAAATATTTGTAACTAGTGTACGAGTACCATCGCGTCTTCAGGCACGGACAATTGCTAGTATATATATATATATATTGATGCTATTTTCATTTCTTGATCTATTACAGTCTGAAATGTTGCAGGACTAAATGTGATTTTGTTTGACATCGTTAAGATGTGTATCAACTTTTTTTTGGAAAGTAATCGAGTAGATTTTTAATTTATGGATACTTACCGGTAGTAAACATGGTTTGAGAGGGAAAAGATTTTAGTGCACACAACCGCTTTTAATTTCTTTGTTACACAAAAAATTACACGAAAACCATACAAAATTAAAATAATAAAATTGAATATCACATGATATGATTCAATTCACGATCCTCGAGGCTTTCATTTCCGTCATGTATGCAAGGTTAGATAAGGATTTTTAGTTGAGCAGTTGTATGATAATAAATGTAGAATTAATATACAGGCCCTTCATTTGTGCCAAAGAAGCTTAAGTTGACTTTGCTTCTCAATGAAGAAGCTCAATATAATTAAGTCTGCTGCAGCTGACTTCCTTGCTAGAATCTCAAATGGTTCAGTTGACATCGAAGCTTTCCACTTCACTGATTATGGGTCAGAACAAGTCTTAGTTCTATCATTTATATATTTCATGCTAATAAATGAAGAATTAGTTTCATTCTCAATGTCACCGTCAACTTATGATCAATTCATAGTTCTGATAAATACAAACATCCTGAAACGAATATTGACAATTTTTGAGAATTAAGTCACGAGCGATTTATTTTTCGTAAATATTCTACATAGTCTCAATGTGGATGATCAATCTTTGATTGAACCTGAAAGAGTTTTAGTTAAGATCCATGTAAAATGACCTAGACACCCACTAGCTGTTGAAATTAAAAAAAAAAAATCATAGCTGTGAGACAATTTGATGTAATCTGGTAGTTTCAAAAATTATTGAATTTTTGGAAGGGAGTCAATTAAGCAGATAAGATTTTGCGTGTGTTTATGTGAAACGTGTATATAGCCAATGAGAAATGCTACTTGAAAAAAAAAATATTGACAATATTTTCTGACTTCACCCTTCATCACAATCATTGAATAGGTAATAAATTTCAATAAATATTGAGACCAACAGTTAAATCAATGACAGTAATATTGAGAGTCAACAAATTTTGTAAATATTTTTTTGTCTAATTAGCATTGCCCATAGCCAATGGAAGTTATTAGGATCGTGTTAGGAGTTTAACCAAATCAGTTTCCATCAGTATGTGAGAACAACGATTTAGTTTTTAATAATTGGTTTAGAGCAATCACTATGTCACGGGTATGAGTGCAAAACCTCTATCAAGCTTTGCAGGTTAAGCCCTAAGCCATTACTTTGAGTATTTTAATTTTAGTATGTTTTTTGTTTCAGCGAGCAATGAACTTGAGAACCCATAAATTACAAGCCCACCACCAAGCCAAACTTCGGTTCTTTCTTCCTATTTGATACAGATTTATTAACAGTGAACTGATCCACTTGCTGCTGACTTTTTCTTTATTGGTGATAATTGTGTGTGTGTGTGTGACACAGAGAGAGAGAGAGAGAGAGAGAGAGCCTAAAGGTGCAAAAAGAGAGAAAGAAACCCTAAAGGTGCATGCAAATTGCAAACTCATGTGGAGTTGAATCGAAAGTTTCCCCGGGCCATAAGACCCAAATGATAATCCACTTGGGGAGGTCAAGATCGAGGTGGTTGCTAGGTGTGCGGGTTTGTTTTTCAAAAGAGACAGTTGGGTGCATTAAATTCCCAAGACGCGGTGAATCTAAGCTTATTAAATTTTCTCAACCGTTCCTTTGAAAATTTTAGGCTTCGCGCCTCTATATATACTCCACTTCGAGTTCTAACTTCTCATCAAAAAGTCATCTAAAACATTGTTTTTTGCAAAAATGGCTTCTAAGCTTTTCCTTCTTGTGCTTGTTGCTCTTGTTTGCACCACAAATGGTAGGAAGCTTGTGAGCTCAAAGGGTTCTTCCGAAGATGAGAAAACTCTCTTTCATCGACCAGGATCCGGTGGTGGGCTAGGTGGTGGAGGTGGTGGTGGTTTTGGAGGCGGTGGAGGTGGAGGGTTAGGCGGTGGTTCCGGTTTTGGTGGTGGGGCTGGTTCTGGTGGGGGTGCTGGTGGCGGTGGTGGACTTGGTGGAGGCGGGGGTGGAGGGTTTGGTGGTGGTGGTGGAGGAGGATTAGGTGGAGGGTCAGGTTTTGGAGCTGGTGGTGGATATGGGGGTGGAGCAGGGGCTGGTGGTGGGCTAGGAGGAGGAGGTGGTGGAGGCTTAGGTGGCGGCGGTGGAGGTGGTCTTGGGGGTGGTGCCGGTGGTGGATATGGTGGAGGAGCGGGTGGTGGGATTGGAGGAGGTGGATTTCCTTGAGAACTAAATTAGCTCCAGTCCATTACATTATCACTGGTTTGCCACATGCTAGTATTGTTTATGAGTGTTCATGGAGTGTTTTCTTTCCTGCATTTTTCTTTTTTTTGTATCTTTTGTTTAAGTATGAAAGGGACAAATAAACTCTTTGAAATAAAATTAGTATTATGGTTTGTATTGTCTACTCTCTCGCTCTCGCTCTCTCTCTCTCATATCATAAGATTGATCAAACCTAATGAGAACAAAAAGATTGACAAACTTGAAGTTGCTCCAAATTCAAATCTCAAGTGATCTTCTTATCAATGTATGATATGATCTACTTTCTAAGTTTAGAAGCAGATGTCAAGTTCAGAAAGAGCTCCAAAGTATGATCCTTTTGGCATCTTATTAATTTCTAAAGAAATCTCATCAGATTACATGAATAGCACCAATCCTACCAAAAGCTAATTCAGAACATGCAGTTTTTGTTTAATGGGCAATGAATTATAGAACATAACACATCCGCTATAAAATATGAATAATACTATTTGGACTTAAAAATTTGATTTCATTCGTTAACCTAATGATATAGTTTTATTAGAATCAAGACAAGTTCTAATGTTTGATGGAATTCACAGTCAATTCAAATGTTATAGTGAACTAGGTCAATCAATGAGGTCAAATGTTTATGTCCAAATAACATTACTTATAAAGTATTGTACATTTCTAATGAATGACAGTCACTCGTCACTTTGAGAGAGTTCTTTTTTAAAAAGGTCATCACTTTGTGTAATTAGTTTTATGACAATTTTTCATTGGATGTACAAACTGCATGGTAGTGCAACCTGATGTATTTTTCTCCCCAGGTAGACATGCAGAAATATTATTGCAAACAAAAAAAAAAAAAAAGATCTCCATCAAAGGAGTTTATAATTAGTGGGATGCTAATGAATATAAATTTTGGGGCAGTAGTTCTGAAAAAAGTACTGAAAAATATACAACACATGAAGAGGAGCTTGAAGACTTGGAACGAGAAGTATTAGGAGGCTTTGATCATTCATGATAAAAAAATATACAGAATTTATTTTTCGTTTAATTGCAAGGAAATGATTTGAGGAGGTTAGCGTGGATCTAATATTGGTGTAACCAATGCATCAACTAAAACTAATTACGATATATAACGGATTTTGTTTTCTCTGATTTTTTTTTTTTAAAATTTCCCATGGATTATTTTCTCGATTTCCATCATTTTCCATAAACTAATCCGATTGATTACCTTTTCAATTCGGTTTCCTGATGGAATGGTAATAAGGAATAATCCATTTACAAATCTCTTTGAAGTTCTTAAGCAACATGGTGTTCTGAGGTTGATTAAATTGCTAAAACGGGACTCATTTAGCTACCAGGACTTTGTAGTGTTACGCAAAATGCTATTGATATTTCCTTTTTAATTAAGATTCAAACATTGTAAGTCTTTGCATTAAATTTTAGTCTTTTCTCGATTAGTAACTTTTATATTAAAATCTAACGGTTTACATAAAGAATGCTCTCTAGAGATTATGGTGCAAAACTCACATGATCGTTCTACTCTCTCTCTCTCTCTCTCTCTCTCTATATATATATATTTGCATATGTGTGTGTGTGTGTGTTGATGTTATTTTCATTGCTTGGTCTACTATAGAATGAACTGTTGTAGGACTAATTGAGAGTTCGTTTGGTTTTTTTTAAGACAAGGATCAACTGAATTTTTTTGGAAAGTAATGGAGTAGATTTTTATTTTATGGGTACTACTTATACATAGTGGATTTTTTTTTTTTTTTTTTTGCTGGTGTGGGGGTAAGAAAGAGTGCTTAGCGACCACTTCGATAGGTCCTCACCGATGGAATAATAAGATCTCTGACCGCGCTTGAAACACATCTTAAGAATAGACCTAATTAGACTAGTATAGCGGCCAACCACCAAGTCTCAATTGGAATTTCAAGATTCGAATTTCCAACCTCAAGGTGAGGAGTAACACCGGCATCCCACTAGACTATCCTAATTGATGGTATACATAGTGGATCTGATTTGAGAGAAAGAAGGCTCTGGTGCAACGGTTCGTAATTTACCTAATATACAAAATTTAAATGGATACGATACGAACTTAAAATAACATAATCGAATATAACACGATTTGAATATGACATGAATCAATTTACAAACTTTGAACTTTTTCATTTCCATCACCTATAAAAGATTATATAATTATGATTTTCAGTTGAGGAGTTGTTAAAAAAAAAATAATAATAAAAATAAAAAATAAATGTAGAATTAATATATAGGTCCCTTTCATTTGTGCTAAAAAAAAACTTAAGTTGACTTGGCTTCATGAGAAGGTTCTCAATCAAGAAGCTCAATATAATTAGGTCTGCAGGCTTCTCTGCTATGGCTAAGTCATGTAGATTCTCAAATGGTTCAGTGAAACATCAAAGCTTTCCACTTCACTGATTATGGGTCAGAACAAGTCTTAGTTCTATCATTTATATATGGCAAGCTAATAAATGAAGAATTAGTTTTCATTCTTATTGTCATCCTCAACTTATTGGTGTGATCAATTCACAGCAGTGAGACAGTTTGATGTAATCTGGTAGTTTACAAAATTATTGAATCTCCATGACAAAAGTCGCCACTACAAGAAATAAGCCTATTAGTGGCAAAATTAATCGTCAATAAAAAATATTTTTGCACATAGGTCAAATTTTTATGTGACAAAACATGTCTTTTAGTGACGACTTTTAACATAATAAGTAATACTTATTTCCGTCACAATTGTAAATGCTTTAATGGCGAATTTTTAGTCTCGTGTTAACCTTTTTGTGACGCCATGGCTACTTAGGGATGAAATTTTTTTTGCCACTAGAACATTTAGTGACAACTTTGAGAGTTTTAGTGATGATTTTTACTGCCATTAAATATCATATTTCTTGTCCGAGTATCAGTGCTAAACCTTAGAGTATAAAAGCGTGAGCAAAAGAAGGATGATGAAATTTTAGTCATGGATTCTTTTGTGATGCGCCCAAAATAACATGCCCAAGAGTACCTACTTAGTTTTATTTCCACGAGTATTGAAAATAATCGAGTAATATTACATAAATTTAAAAAGTATATTTGATAATTATATCTATTAATTTTATTGTGGGTCTCAGCATTTATTGGAACTCATTATCTATTTAATGATTGTGATTATCAAGTCTACTTTTAAGATGGTGTTTGATAAAACTGAAAGCTGAATGCTAAATTGTGAACTGTTTGGTATTCACTGAAATTTAAATACTGAATTAAACTAAACTGTTTAATAACTACATAAAACTGACTCTGAAAATAAATTAATTTTTCAGTTTTACCCTTCCATTCTTTAATTTGAAAATATTTATAAAATATGTCATAACATAAATCATAATCACTATTATTATATTGTACTCTACATTTAATATTTGATCTAAATAAATAACATCAAAATAACATAATAAGTGAACAATAACATCTGATAAAAAAAGAACAATAACTAATAAATAATTAAATAATATTAAAAAAATAGAATAAATTAGATTTCATTAACAATATGTGTGTGCGTCGTGAAGGTATGTGTGTGTGTGTGTGTGTGCAGTCCATGTGTGTAACTATGTGTGTGTCTATGCAGTGCGTATGTCTGTGTGTAACTATGTCTATGCGTGTGTAGCTGTGTGTGTAATTATAATTATGTATGTATATTTTTATAACAGAAGACAAGGGAAAAAAAAAAAAAAAGATCGATAACGCGAATGTATAGGTTAAGGGTTTTGGAGAGAAGACTAATTAAAGTTTCAATAGGATTGTAAAATATTTCGAGGTATAATTGTCATATTGTAAATATTATTAAAGATGATTTTGATGAGCGCTTTCAACTTTTAAATTAAGTAAGAGATCTCCTACTTAATATTATAGCCTATTTTTAAAGAACACTTAATATATTAAGAGAGTTTAAATTTTAGTTATCAAACGAGTTTAATTAATAAATGTTGAATACATTCATTTTAAGTGCTGAATTTGGATTAACAAACACACCCTCATTGCGTATAATATTACTTAAAATAATATTCTCTTCTCAACAAGAGTGGAGTTGGTGGGTGTCACGCCCCATCCTGGTCTCCCAAGGATAAGACGCGACTAGATTTTTGATACACTTTTTTATATGTATATAATCTAGATTAATAAAATACTAATTAATCTCACAGTTGTAACAATACCACCCATCACCTTAGCTATTAAGTATGATGGTAAACCTGTCTCATATATAATATCTGTACCAATTGTTTGTTTCCACGGTTATAGACAGATACAAAATTCCACACCCACATAGCATACATCACAAAGTATACCTGTTGAGTCTGTTTACAAATATATATATTATTAACCTGCTATAATAATCTCTCATTTAACATAATAAACAACCCAACAAATAATTATACAGTCCCTCAACCAGTATCATTTACTCATTTAAAACTAAATACATAACGAATAGAATATCATACTAACATTGTACAAAACACAATCCTTCTGACAGTGGACTGATCTATGTCTCCCCCTCTTGTACCTGAAAAGGAGAAGCTATAGGAGTGTGAGCTAAACTACGCGCTCAGTGAGTATACATGCCATATATGAAATGAAAATGATAATAATACACAGAAGTAAGTAAATACTATGTAAATACACGTATCAAACAACAACATCAATCCAATTCAAGAATTCACAAGTCATAACACATCCATAATTCTCCTCATCGGGTAATCGATCCCACATGGATCTGTGTCTCCCGAACCTCCCGGGAATACCACAATGCTAGCAAACCACTACACGCCCAATGATCTGGCATCGACGCTCCTGTCTTAGACAGTGCGTCACATTTCACAATACACAATACAAAGCATCATCCAATCACATAAGCACACAACACATAATCCTGGAGAATGCTATTAAATTCTATCATCTAACATCATCTTATAATAACATTTTCAAAACATATAAAATTATACACCCACCTCAAATATACTGATCTACTGCCCTTTGGTTCTATCGATGGATCCTTCCGGTGTTTTCGTAGCCGTCTCTATACTAGCTGTCCTACCTGTTCCACCTAACACATCAATATTAAAATGTTGATCACATTGAATAATTATTCATGCACTAATGCATGCAAGATGATTCCATCTAAAGTGTCCCGGTAACTCCTGTTATCGCACTGTTCACTCACATACTGACACATTAGATTTAAGATCATATTCTTTTTCCCAAATCTTCAAAATCACTCACATTAATCACAATTAAGATTTAGTAAGTCAAACACATTGACCAGGGGTCCATTTTTATATATTTCGACCCCGAATCCCTAAAATTGCACTTCCAGCATTTCGTACATTCTGCACTAGACATTATATTCATTTGCATTTGAAATTTACATTATCACATCACGCATCAATTAAAAATGCAGCATGCAAAATTTTAGGTCATTTGGATTAAAATTTCATACAAGTGCTACTAATATTTAGAAATCAGGGTTCCGGCATTACTGGCACCCATTTTCCATTGTTATCATACTTTCTTTTAAAACAATTTTACCTAAACTCACACACTCCTAACTCATGCAAATCAACCCTTTAATTGAATCCTTGAACTCTCCATTTTACACCCAAAACCTCAATTTCAACTAGCCACCTAAAGCACCCAAATATTCATTTTTTCACATTTTTCTCACATCCAATTGAATACCCATTTAAAACCACTAAATTATGTTCCACACACTTAAATTAGACTCATAAAAATTTGTTTTTGAATTAAAATAAAACAGTCATTATTTTAACACCAAACAACCCACTAATTATGTTTAATACACTTAATTTAAACTCACCAAAATATGTTTTGAAATTACAATAAAACAATTCCACACTTATACACAAATACTTAAAATTAATCACACACACACACACACTAAAATGAACACACACATACACCCTTACCTTCTTGTTTCCATCTTACTTTTGGTTTGGCATGGAGTCCCCCAAATTCTTCTTTATTTCTTTTCTCTTTTTTTTTTCTTTCTTCTTCCTCTCCTTTACTCTCCCTCACTCACGGTTTCATATAGCCTGAACACACACACACACACACACACTTATTTGTCTTTTAAATACATTCACTTTACTACATATTAAAGTACACACAAACATTTTACTACACTTTAAGACGCACATAAACACTTGGCATACACACACCCACATATATAACTTTTAAAAATAACCTATCACCTTTTATTTGACACATGTGTAAAGATATTTTCATGCAGCTTCATAATTCTACTTGTCTCCCTCCAAATTCTTAAGTGATTTTAAAATCAACTCAATATTATTTTCATACACAAAATTCTATCTAACAATTAATTTCATATAATTGTAATTAGTCCACATAATTATACTAATATGTATGCAATACATGATCGAGTCTCACAGTGGGCACTATGAGGTGGTGTTGGAACTGCTAGCGCTAGTCTCGGCATTGGCAGTGGTGACGTAGTTAGTGGTGGCTTGGATTTTGCGAAGGAATGGGTGGAGGATTGCCGTGAGGTGGCAAAGTTACCGCTTGGTGTCCTGATGATCCAGCTCAGAAGCAAAATAGGCCCTAGACTTATTTGGGCCACAACATTTGTCTTTTGGGTCCTTAAGGCTCTATCTTTGGTTCGGGCCTAAAACCCAGCCAACTCGTTTCCAAAGTGCAAAAAAATAAAAAATAAAAAATTGAGAGAGATAATATCATCAATAAATTGTATTTTTTTTATATTTCTGAAGATAATTTTATCCTAGTTTTTAACATAAATTTTAAAATTTCGTAATTTGCTATCATTCTGCTTTAGAAATTTTAAAAATTCATAATTTATTATCATTTTGCTTTAGATATTTGTGGTTTAATTATGAAAATTAAAAAGAAATAAGTCTCCCCATAAAAACTATCAACATAATTTGATATCGAAAATTGTTCTTAAGACAATCGAATGATTTGATTTATAGTCTATAGTTTATTTCATCTTTATGACATTGTCAAGAAAAATATTATTTTTTTTTCAAAAAAATAATGGTACACAATTTTAACAAAAAAAGGGTAAATCGGGTAATTTGTTCACCCTTATACAAGGTCATATATATAATGACTATAAGTATTGTAAAGGAACAGAACATTACACATAGTCTATTACCTCAAATCAAAACATATCCATTTGTTGCATTATAAAGTTTAGCATCATATTCAGTTCAACAAATATACTACGATAATATATGTTTACAATTAAGAGAATCAATACAATCATGAAATTATTACAAACAAGAAACATAAGTTTAAAAGTAGTTCAAGGGATAATAGAGACGAATTATAAATTAAAACGTTTTGAATTTAAATTTTGACAATCTTTTGGGACTAGATGAGGAGTGATTTATCTTTTACGAATATTCTAATCCTGACGTAGATGATCTATTTTTAATCAGATCTCGGATTCAAGAAGGTGATTAGTTAAGAATCTTAACAACCCTTTAGGGTCAGAAGATAAATAATTTTTCTTTCATGAATATCCTAATCTCAACGTAGATGACATGTCTTTAATCAGATATCGGATTAGGAAGGTGATTAATTAAGAATCTTAGCAACCCTTTGCACTCAGATGATGAGGGATTTTATATTTTATGAATATTATAGTCTTGACGTAAATGATCTGTCTTTAATCGAATCTCGGATCAAGAAGAAGATTAATTAAGAATCTTAGCAACCTTTTGGGGCTAAATGATGAAAGATTTATCTTTCATGAATATTTTAATCCCAACGTTGATGACCTGTCTTTAATTGAATCTGGAATCAGGAAGGGGATTAGTTAAGAATCTTAGCAACCCTTTCCGCCCAAATGATGAGGGATTTATCTTTCAAGAATATCTTAGTCCCGACGTAAATACTCTATTTTTAATTGAACTAGAAAGGAGATTAATTGAGATACGCACTGACCTACATATCTTTGAACCATTGAATGAAAAAAAAAAAAAAAACCCAATAACAAACCACCACTGAAACTTAGAATTTTTTTTTCCCATTCCTTTGAGACCATCTATCGAGGAAGATATCTGCTCAGGAAAAGTGGAGAGATTAAATTGAAACTTTGACATAAAGTGAAAGATTGAAACTTTGACATAAAGTGAAAGACAGATTCTTATAACCTACACAAGCAATCGTTCCTCGAGAGCATCCCCAAATGAAGATGTAAATTTGAATTCAAAGGCTTATGTTGTATTTTGACATTTAGAATTTGATATTTTCAGCTTATTAGTGTTCCAACCGATACGTCAAAATCATTTTAAATTTTTTTTATCAATAAAATAATAATTTATAAAGGATTTAATATTCCAAAATTGATATGTCAAATTTAATATATTGTTAAATTCAATTTTACCAATTAAACATTTAACATATTAGTTAGAGATGAAGTCACTATCAAATAATGCCGTTGAGAACTCCACAGATTTCGATTAGAGTTGCTCTTATATAAACAAAAGGCCCGAAATACAACACAATCTGCATACATCAAGGGAAATCCACATCATATACTGCAAATATTCCTACATCAGCAATCAACTATTGAACCGAAGACTCGAATAAAATAAGGTTCTATTTGTTTGTACGTTTTGGTAATAAATTAAAACTATTTTAACCATTTATGAGTAAAATATATGATTGATATTGCTATTAAAAGCATTCCATTAGACTAAAGGTATACAGTTGGTGCTTGATAGAGACTTGGACTAATACAAAATAAATTATTAAAATTAAGGGAGAATCTCACTTTATACCCTAAAGATTTTAAATTTTATACTTTATACTTTCAAAAATTAAATATCTCACATTATATTTTCAATGTATTTTTTTTTTTGTGAGAGAAAAAGAGAGAGAGAAATTGAACCCTTGATCTCAAGAAGAAAAAATTTTCACAAGCAAAGGAATACAATTGAATCAAAAGTCCATTAATATTAACAATATTGTAATGCGGCCTTTTCGTTAGTTTTTATTTCTTATTCCATCAAAAATTATACTATTGATGTTAATGAAATGAGCAACGAAAACTAATGAAAATAGTGTATTTGCAACACTTTTAAATACATTGAAAGTACAATATGAGAAGTTGAATATTTGGAGATGTAAAATGAGAATTTTTAAATCTTTTAGGGTCCAAAGTATAATTCGCCCTAAAATTAAATATTGGACTTCCTTAGTCAAGCGAAGACGACAGCGTTTTAGTTCCTTGCTCCAATTGAATTTTGCAACTCCTTAGGACCTTAAAGCGCGTGTGCTAAATCCAATAATGCAAAGACAATAGAAAGGAAAGTCAGAAAATCTTCTAGGCGACTCTCTCTGTGGGTGCAACCCTCCCTCTCTATACACTACGTTCGTAGAATCTCAGCATCGTTCAGTGAGGTGAGAACCTATTAATCCTACTACTGATCTCTATATGTATATAGGAACAGGAAGATCTGTCTCTGAAACTACAAGTCCCATCGTTTAATTTTTCTCGTTGTTGCTTTTATGGATGCACATACAAACACGTCTCTGTATATTGTAATAATGTTTCTGTTACTTGATTTTCATGAAACTTGGTCATTTCTTATTCGTTAATTGAGATTGTATATCATTCGTATCGTGAAAGCAGATTTAAGAGATCAGGATTGCGATGTTAGGTGTTATAAGACGCAGAGTCGCATGTGGAGGCTCCTCGTCTTCGGTACAAACTCTAATTTCTATATCTTATGGTAATTTGCAGTGTATTCCACACATACACCCACACACCCACACAAACACACCCACTTGTAGTGTGGAAATGAAAGATAAGTTCAGTTTATGTAACTAAAGATCTGCTTTGAACGCAGATTCTAGGAAAGTCATTGCATACAATTCGGCCTGCTGTGTCCACACCTAGAATTTGCTCTGCTTCTGGGGAAGATGTAATGTTTGTTTCGATTTATTGCTTTTGTATTTATTGGAGAATATGGTTGTTGCAATTGGTGTAATGTGAAGAATAACTTTGTAAATGCATGTATAATTTTGGAGGTTTTGAAAACGGAGGTATTTAACTCAGCCTTGATTGAATTTAGTTGATAATCCGATTTTGTTTATGATTATGTTGAAATAATGTTGCTAAATAAATAAAAAATCAACGTTAGCGTATGCAATTAGTTTGGAGGAATTTTCATCTGTCCCATTTGTCCAACAGTTTGCTTCTAGTATTGTATGTTACAGAGCTGGGTCACTTTTCGAAATATTTTGAAGATAATGTATTATTCTGGACTGGACCTAGCAAAATGGGTGTATTATGGATAGCAGAATGGAGGTTGATGTTTTGTTGTGTGTTCCTAGAAAGAAAAAAATGAAGAACAAGTGTTGCTATTTTTCTGATCTCCAACCTTTATATTGCATGCAAAAAGTGAACGATTTTTAATATAGATTCTATTGAAATCTTAAAGCTAATTTTGAACAAGATGTTGCTCCTATGATGCCTATGTTCTGGAAGGATTTCACAGAGACCAGTCAATTAATCTAAGTCTGAGAATGGGCAGTTATTTTCTTATTGCCGTCATATATTTATGCAGAAGATACCAAAAAAATATCAGACGGACAGAGAGAGAGAGAAAAAAATTCTTCTAGTTATTCTTGCTGTCTCTTATCATATTAATACGATCTATTTTGAATTCTCATTTATTTTAGTTGCTGGCGGATCTTTTGTTTCCTTAACTTTTGTTTGTCAAAATTAACACGTGCAATAAAAAATTCTTCCAGTTATTCTTACTGTCACCATCATATTAATACGATCTATTTTGAATTCTCATTTATTTGCTGGTGGATCTTTTGTTTCCTTTAACATTTTTATGTCAAAATTATCACATTAAATTTATTGCATTGTATATTTGGAAAATTTCTCATGACCTTTACTTTTCAAGCATGTGAACAGATTTTAGTACATCCAAGAGGAATAGGTCATGTTCAGAATTTCTGTCACCTAATTTTACCTGGTAAGCTTTGGCCAACTCTGTTCTTGTGCCTCCTTGGCAGACGCTAATACATGCCTGTGGTTTTGTCCATTACCTATTAATTGTACCTTTGTTGTCATAGGTCGGTTGATGAGTTTGAGGTCTACAAGGTTAGTGGTGTTTATCTTTCCACCTTTTCATTTAATTGAGCTTTATTATAAACCAATCAAAAAACACATTTTCATATTAAGTACTCTTATGATCATAAGTAGGGATTAGCAACATGTGTAATTGAGGATGGATTGAATGGATTAAGGACCTGCCCTGCCTAGATCTAATTTGACACAAGCTTTGCCTTGAACCCATTTTTGGTTTAAGGAATTCACCTATCACAAGGCTTGCCTTACTAGGACAGTTGGCACAGCCTTATTCCCCTAATGCTTTAGAATTGTGTATAAGCGATACATATCCACACATAGCTGTATGTCATAGATAGAATAAAAATAAATGATGTAAGTTGTTGGACTAGACTCAAGTTTACTTATGGAAATTCTTATAACTCACCTAAGTGTGCACTGATTCGCTGAATCATACTGGTATATGATATATCACGTGAACATACAACACTTCAAGTTCTGTACTGCTCACCACTCCTTGAGGCCAAGGACGGGGTCGAATTGTCATTCCAAGATTTTACTCAAATATGGCAACAAAATTTTTGTCTCAGGGCTGCTTTTCTTTGTCATCGCCTGATTATGTGACTTAGCTTGAATGTAAAACCCAGGGTGCAGTGGAGATGTTATTATGTCTCAATCTATGTAAAAATGAAATATACAGGGGAAAAGTTCTCCGCTGTTACTGTAACACTTTTGTTGTACAACTTTTCTTATCTGCAGGGAAGTTGTGGCCAGTTGTCAACAAGATGTCTCCATGCAAATCCGAAGCAGGCCATTCTGTTCAAACAATGGTATGATATTCACTTGCCTTGTGAATTTGCATTTGTTGATATTGCGCCTGGAATTACACTCAATGTGCATAAGTTTGAATGGATGTTTTGTTAGTTACACAAAGCTTATCATGGATTTTTGATGTTGTTGGAAGATATGGGCAGGAGGTCGGGCTCTTTTTTGGGAAATATTTTTGTCTAACATACTGGAAAGATAGATGTTTATTTCCCTATTTCTAGTGGTTTCTATGATGATTCACCTGATAGGACATTCCAAGCAACTCTCTTAATGGATATTTCCTCCTGAATGTTATCAATGTGGCTTTGGCTTTGCACAATAAGCTGTGGTTAAAAAGTTCTAAGATTTGCTCATCAATGTTAATAAAGAAGAGGGACCCATCAAGAAAAATTTCTGTTAATACAGTAAATATGTGTTAAACAACCCATCTACTCTAAAAATTTAAGCTATTGGATAGAGTGCAACTTTAGTAGTTATATACTTCAACACGCCCCTTTATGTGCGGGCTAGATTTTGGGTCTAGCACGTGAAAATCTTTTAATAATTAGAGTGGTTTTAATAATTAGGATGGCGGCAAGATTTGAATACATGATCTCCTACTTTGATAATATGTTAAACAACTATCTATTCTAAAAGCTTATGCTATTGGATATTGTGTAATTTTAGTATTTATACTTAAACAATATGTAACGGTGGAAAGATTGGATGAGTTCCAATAGTTTTTTCTAAAAGGTAAAAAAGAAGAGGAAAAGTTGTAATACAGTATAAGCGTCCGATTTGCTTAAACTTTATGAAGATACAAATGTTTGTACAAAAAAAATCGGTTGAATCTCGAAGGCTAAGTTGTTGATTGAAGATGGATTTGGGTGCTTGTGATAAATGCCTCCGAATGTGGTGTTTGATAAATGGTTTTTCATTCATTTTTTTTGTATTTGTTTTGGTTATCTCGCTAGAAAGAACTTAAGAATTTTTGAAGACAAATATGAGGTGGTTGACGGTCTATCGGTTCTATTTTTTATTTTCTTTTTGGGTCTCTCTGACAGAATTGTGCGAATTTACTGTGGTTACATGGTCTAGGTAGTGCTATGTACTGTTTTATTGTTGCTTCTTGTCTGTTTAGACGACTTGTCCACCTTTGCTCGGGTAATATACAACTTCGTTATGTTTATTAATAAAATTTTGTTTCTTATCAAAAAAATAAAACAATGCCTCCTAACTCTAATACGGAGTTTGTAATTCGAAATGTCCCATATGAACCATGATATGGACACATGCTTATGGTGAATGGTCTCTATATTGTAGTTGGTGAGTCTCTAACTTTTATAATGTTTCCTGTGTGTATAAAATGTGCTGAAGGTGACCTAGTTGAAGCCGTTGTCCCCTTTATGGGTGAATCTATAACTGATGGCACTTTGGCGCAATTCTTGAAGAGTATGTTTACCACTATATCTTACCATTTCCTTCTCGTCAAAATATCCATTGTCTGAGCGCCAATGCTTGCTTTTGTTTGCATTTAATGTTTGATGAGCAGATCCCGGTGATAGAGTGGAAGTTGATGAGCCAATTGCTCAAGTTGAAACAGATAAGGTATTTATTCTAAAGTTGTGTTAATTTTCGTAATCTAAGGTTTCAGTGGGTTTGATCTACTTGGAATTTCCATTTCCATCAGGTGACCATTGATGTTTCCAGTCCTGAAGCGGGTGTCATCCAAAAGGTGAAGTTATTAATTTTAGAATCCTGTTCATGTTTTTGAACAAGTTCATTACAGTTCTCATTTGCTTGTTTTGGAAATGATGGGTGCTGAATCTGCTCGTATGTACTTTAATATTGGTAGTTTATAGCCAAGGAAGGAGAAACTGTGGAACCGGGTACTAAGATTGCTGTCATTTCAAAATCTGGTGAAGGTGTGACTGTGACCCATGCTGCTCCATCTGAGAAGCGATCTGAAAAAGCTGCTTCTCAGCCAACTCCCCTTGCTGAAGAGAAAAAGGATGAGAAGCAAAAGCCTAAAGTTGAAACTACTCCTGTCATAGAGAAGCCTAAGGAAACTTCTCCTTCTCCTCCTAAACGCTCTGCTACTGAACCTCAGCTCCCCCCTAAAGAAAGAGAAAGACGCGTGAGTTTTCGTAGCACTTTCTCAATATTCCATATGATTATCTTTAAATGTTCTGTTAATCAAATTCTATGTTTGAGCTATATGATCATGTAACTTGAGTATGCATCGAATCTGTGATGATTACAGGTTCCTATGACAAGGCTCAGAAAACGAGTTGCCACGCGTCTTAAAGATTCTCAAAACACATTTGCTTTGTTGACGACATTCAATGAAGTGGATATGTAAGTTCAAAACACATATAAGCTAATCCAGTCATGATTTAAGATTGGTGACTTATGGCATATTCCTTGGATTGGGCATCTTTCACATAAACGGATTTAATCAAAAGGAATCATCCCTGGTTGAGATGTGGTTTAACTAGGTCAGTCTTGGTCTGGAAGGACATAAACAAACAAGAATCGAATTATTGAAATACCAGTAATAGCTTGATTCTTCCGATAAATAGGTTCTTTGTTGAGACTACATGTAACTATTGTGTGTGTGTGCAATTGCATGTGTGTATGAAAAATTAAAGCAATAAAGAGATCATCTTCAATACAAGCGAAACCCTATTGCAAAAAACCATGGAACCGCCATTCGGTTCTCGTAGCCTAATTCACCAACTTAAAGTCAATTACAAGGATAGAAGTCTTATACCTCAACCAATACACCCATGGTTAGATGTTTTCATCCTTGTCAATCTCTGATCCGGATACACCTACCGAGGTCTTGAGTAGTTTCACTTGTATGTGCTCAATGCAATGAAAATAAAACAATCTAGATTCTCGGTATACATACAACCTATGTGGGTTTTGGTGGTTAACCAAACAATCTCGTCTTCACACATAAATATTTGATCATGTGAAAGTGTGTTATATATGTTAGGCTTTGGTCTAGGTTAGTTGAGTTGATATAGGAAGTAAGTGGAGGTGTGATGGGATATTGGGTCGATTCATTTTTGAGCTGGATTGATTAATCCTTCTTTGTTTTCATTCTAGAAATCAAGGATTAGATGTATGTTGGTACTTGGATGGTTCTAATTACTAAACCAAGTTTTCTAAATGATGCATAATTAATCTTATATTATCTAGATTACCTTGCGAACTTTGACATGCTTATCTTGCTATTCTTGTTACAACATTCTGTTGTGGTATTGTTTCCTTTGTTGATTTGTTCCTTATTGCAGGACTAATTTGATGAAACTTCGTTCTGAGTACAAGGACGCCTTTGTGGAAAAGCATGGAGTCAAGCTGGGACTTATGTCAGGATTTGTGAAAGTACGTAACAGTTTGCATGGTTTTTCATTAGAACTGAGCATGGACTTGCGTGGGCTTGTTTGTGCATGAACTTAATACCTTCTTTTATCTTTATGTGTCAAGTGTAGAGATATATGAAAAGAGTGCTCAGAGTTTGCATACTATCTTGTCCAATTTTCAGGCTGCTGTTAGTGGGCTCCAGAATCAGCCCATTATCAATGCGGTAATAGATGGGGATGATATCATTTATAGAGACTATATTGATATCAGCATCGCTGTTGGCACTTCAAAGGCAAGCTTATCAGTCCTTTAAGTACTTGCTAATGTAATTTCAATTACAGGAAAATACTTTTTAGTTGCGAGTTGAATGAATTTGTCTGTATGAGTAATGGATTTTTTAACAAGTACAGCATGGAGTATGCATCAACTGTAAGTGTTTGTGCAAACAAAAATGTCTCGCATGGGTTCTCATTCTTTTCTAGATTTATATATTTAACACAATAACAGATTAGCAAACCTTTCAGATAGAGCTTATGTCAAATGAAGAAGTTATTAGCTTTATTTAGAGAAATTCTTGGGCTGATTAAGAAGAAATGTAGAGAAATTTCTAGATTGGGTTGTTTTGATTTAAATTGTAAGCATTTTGTTTTTGTTACAACATTTATTGTACTTTATAAAGGTTTCGTCAGTCTTTTAGCGTTAATATAAAATCTTGTTTTTCGCCAGGGCCTTGTTGTTCCAGTTATCCGTAATGCTGATAAGATGAATTTTGCTGAGATAGAGAAGGAAATCAACACCCTTGCTAAGAAGGCAAATGATGGATCCATATCTATTGACGAGATGGCTGGAGGTTCATTCACTATATCTAATGGTGGTGTTTATGGAAGCCTTTTGAGTACCCCCATCATCAACCCCCCTCAGGTATTGCTCCTTGCTGAAACATTTAAATAATTGAAATGATTGTTTAGCTATTTTCTGTCTCCTCCATTCTTGTGATGATGAAAAATTATTGTTGCTTTGCTTGTCCTTTTATTTTCTTCGTATTGACTTTGAATGTTCGTTCTACTTGTTATTTGACAGTCTGCAATCCTGGGTATGCACTCAATAGTCTCCCGTCCGATGGTTGTTGGGGGCAACATAGTTCCAAGACCAATGATGTACATTGCCCTCACATATGACCATAGGCTGATTGATGGCAGAGAGGCAGTGTTCTTCTTGAGAAGAATCAAGGACGTGGTGGAAGACCCACGGAGGCTGCTCCTTGATATATGAAAACAGCAGCTGCTGCTGTTTGATTTCAAGTTTCCATGGTATACTTGGGAGATACAGAAACTCAGAATTCATTAAAACCAGAATAAATGGCTTGATGTCAAAGTTTTGCGGTGTTTCGTTGTTGTTTCTCACATTTATCAAAAGTCTGAAACATGAGAGTGCTTATTCGAATCCATTTTCCTAAATCTGCTCTATGTATTGATGCATCACTTGTGCTTGATTCCGAGTTTAAGGAATACCTAAATTCGTTTCAGAACATATACGAACAAGGCCGGAGACAAGAGGGGACCCAGGAAGGCAAGGGCCCACTGAATTTTTTTTTTGAAATACGATACCTATATATATTTTTTGTTAATTGTTAGGTATTTTTAAACTTGTCCACATTATTAATTTTTTTGTCGTACATGTTACACACATTACAGAAACTTAGTTATAGAATTAAATAACTGATAAATGATGAATCACTCATAATTTGATTATAATATAAAAAATTTCTTTTAATGGTATTATTACCAAGTTACGCTTTCAAAGTAAGAAAGTTTGTTGACGTTAATTGTATGTAATTAGTCTCATTTTTTGTCAAGGGTTCTAATTAATTTTTTTTTTTTTTTTTATGTTTATTGAAGTTATATACATCGGCGTTTGATCCTTTTAAATCTTAATTCATATTCAAATATCAAATATGATACAATAAATTTAAATGTGGTTTTATTTTTATTCATTGTAGAGAAAAAAAATTAAAGCTTCTAATTATGGTGCATAATTTAACTATATTTTTAAAATACAAGTTTATCTTTTTTAGTCAAAAAAGGAGTGGGGAGTAAAGGAGAACACTCGTGGACCACTTCGATTGTAATCTATCACTTGACGGGATGGCTACAATAAATATGTTGATGGTTACAAAATTGGTTTCATTTTCACCCATTGATGGTCATGACAAAGGTCTTTTTTGGTTCATAATTTGTTAATTTTCTGTGCTTAATTTTGTAATCAACAAACTAAATGGAAGAAATTCTACTGTATGTAAGTGATTTTGAATAACATTTGATACTTAATCCTATACACCGTCCTTATTTAGATTTGTAGCTAGATTTTTTCTTTCTGAAAAATTAATAATCTTTCTTTTTCGAAGTGTCGGTACGACAATATAGAGTACAATTCAAATCATTTGGCTGGCTTTGTTCGGAAAAATATGGAATTCAGTCTTGATGTGCCATTTACTTGCAAGAACCTTCGTCTTTATAACATTTTATAATGCCGTTGTTTACTTTTAGAATGAATTTATTTGTACATCCATGAAATGGGTGCTCACAGAAATGTCAAAATTAGATAGGAGTTGTCATTTCATATGGGCTGACCCAAAGATTCGAAAAACCTAGAATACAAAAATCACATAAACTAGTTAACATAGGGTGGGTGACACATGAATTGGTTCAATTGGATAAGAATTGAGATTTTTTTGTTAAATATTTGAGTTCGATTCTCTACAATTACGACAAATCTGTTTGACATTTTCATAAATCTTTGTCTTTGAGATTAAACTTACTTTTCAGCGCCTAAAGTATGCGACGACACTTTAGCTTCGTCTCCAATGTAGGTTCAGTGTCAATAGAGTCTCTTGTAGATAATTATGTGATACTTGAGAGACAATACTCCTGCAGTGTCAATGGAGTCTCTTGCAGATAACTATGTGATATTTGAGATATAATACTCCTTGACGAATATGTGGTGTGACTTATCTGTATATCTATTTTATATACCAAAATAAAATAAAATATTAAATTTATAGATGATGTTGATATATGGTTAGGTGAGTCACCGGACTTTGTAATGTCTCAGTTATTAATAACTTTGCTTTTGTTTCGATATAAAAAATAAAATAAAATATAAACTTACCTTTAGTCCTTATAAAAAGGTGTGGTTAATGTTATTTGTAGTGTTTTAAAACTCGGCTCGGCCCGACCCGACGGATCAACTTGAAAAATCGGTGAATCAGTGCCTGAGCTGGATCGATTCTTTAATTAGATCGATCCAACAAATGACCCACTTGAAAACTACTCAAACCAGCTTAAATTGGTCACTTTTTAAGAACCCGTAAAAACCGGTCCGATTTTCACAAGTCTGGTTTCCACAAATCCATTTTCATACTGAAGCTCAAACATAAAAAAACTAAACTTCAAGGCCCAAACATAACATATTCAAACCAAAATGCTTAGAGGCTGACGTTAATCAAGCAATTGTTGACCACTAGCTACAAGTGGAGAAGTGAAGCATTTTTATAGGCGCAAATTCTTTAGAACCATCTGTTAATTTTTCGGTGTGGGATAGTTAGTACACTTAAACTCTCTTTGTTTTTTTTATCAATTTTTCTTTTGGTTTTTTAGGCATCATATTATTACCATTTATACTAAATATTCAATATTTTTTAGTGAATTATTTTAGGGTTAATCTCATTTTGCACCCCGAAAGATCGTTCGAATTTCAATTTGCACTCTCAAAGATCAAAAATCTTAATTTGCACCCTCAAAGAAAGAAATTTGTATCAATGTACACCCCTAAAGATCAAAAATCTCAATTTGCACCCTCAAAGATAAAAATTTATATCAATGTGTACCCCAAAGATAAAAAATTTCAATTTACACCCTCAAAGATAGAAATTTGTATCAATGTGCACCTAACATTAAGTTGATAAATTATACCTAAATCCCCTCATATTTGTCAGTTAATCATTTAAACCTCTTCACATTTAGAATATTACTTCTACATCTTATGACATTTGTGCACGTATAACACGTAACCCATTTTCATTGATATCTATTAATATAACCGTTAAAAAATATAATTTTATCCTAATAAAAAATTATAATTTCATATTACCCTTTATTTTATAGGTTCAATATATTATAAAGTTCAAAATCTAGTTTACCATTTGAATGTCTAATAAAATATAAATATTTACATAATATTTTTCATATTACCTTTTATATAAATATCTACATTTTATTAGACATTCAAATGGAAAGCTTGATTTTCAACTTTAGAGTATATCGAATCCACAAAATAAAAGGTAATATAAAATTATAATTTTATATTAGGATAAAATCATATTTTTTAACGATTATATTAATATATATCAACGAAAAGTGGTTATGTGTTACACATGCATAAACGTCATGAGATGTAAGGGGAATATTCTAAATGTGAAGGAGTTCAAATGATTAAGTGACAAATATGAAGGGATCAATGTATAATTTATTAATTTAATTTTAGGTGCACATTGATACAAATTTCTATCTTTGAAGGTGCAAATTGAGATTTTTTATCTTTGGGGATGCACATTGATACAAATTTCTATCTTTTAGGGTGCAAATTGAGATTTTTGATCTTTGGGGGTGCACATTGATACAAATTTCTATCTTTGAGGGTGTAAATTGAGATTTTTGATCTTTGAGGGTACAAATTGAGATTCGAACAATCTTTCGGAGTGTAAAATGAGATTAACCCATTATTTTCTCTGTCAAATTATATCAATTATGTAAGCAAATTAATGATTTGAGGATATTTTTTGTCTTTTTATTTCATTTACTATAACATAAAATATGTTATTTTTGTAACTATTATAAATTTTTAGCATATTTATTATTATTTATTAATTATATGACCGATTCAACTGATTGACTCACGATTGAACCAATAACCCATTAACCCGATCCATTTGCCGAATTAGTGTTCTGGCCAGATTTAAAAAATATGATTATTTGACCTTTGGCATTCAACATAATCCAACAACACATGACGGACCAAAAGACGGAAGAGAGAATAATCTGTAACATGCGCACTATGAACGGAAGAGGTTACATACATTAAGCTGAAGTCAGCGATGAAGTCATTGGAACCTATTAACCAGAAGAGATGCTTTTAATTTGGAGTGAAATATGCCTTGGATTCCGCAATATGGTGCTAAAGTGAGAAGACAGTTCAAATTCAAGTTCCTCTCTCTCTCTAACCTAAAGTTGTGGTTCTCATAATGTGGTGAATGAATTGCAAGTTGTGCATTATGATTAAACTAGAATCGCGGCTCTCTTTCAATGATAAAGTGTCACATGTGATCCTCGTACATTCCAGTTTGAATTCTGTCCCCTCACTTTGCGTATGAAAATAGTAGTCTAATACACGAAATTTTTATATAATGTTTGTGAAGAATCTATGATATTACAATTGAATATTATCGACAAAACTTGTCTTCTAAAAACAAAATACAGGTTGATTTTATCACCACGATGGTAACAATATGTAGGATCAATAATTGAACCGAGCTCAAGTAGCTCAATTTGGGTTCGATTCATTTTGAACTTGAATAATTTTTTAGATTCGTTTAGAAAACGAGTTCGACAGATTTGACTCGATTACATGTAAATATTTGGGCTAGACTCGGATTTGACTCGTTCAACAGGTTCGACTCGTTTATATGTAAATATTTGGGCTATATTCGAATTTGGCTTGTTCAAGTTAGGCTAGCCGAATTAAATAATTTTTTAAGTTCATTTACAAAAAAAACTTGATAAACTCAGCTCAAATTCGTTTGAACTTATTCGATCATGAGCCCTAATAGTATGCACGTCTTGGAGTACCAAATGCTCCCTGAAATCTTCTAGTATGGTTTTATTGGACTAGATTTAGAGCAAGCCGGTGCTGCTTTGTAAGAACCCCACCACATACTCCCTAAATGCTGAAGAATATATGCAGAATATGAAGTGGACCTTCTTTGTTCTTGCCTCTTCAAGAAAAGTAATGGGCAACTCAAATCTACGAACCCATGATTCCAATCGGCACCACCAAGGCCAATCTCAAGTGGGTTAAGACCTAATCAATAGGTCTCGTTGACTTGGTTTCAAAATTCATTTCACCAACTCCATAAATAAAAAACATTGACTTACCTGATCTGTACCTAAAGTCCTTTTTGTTCACACACACATAAGTCTACCACGCAAATGGATAGA